CCGGCCGGTGCCACGGCTCACTAGGCTAATCCTCCGCCTTGCGGCGCCGGCACACCGGGTTCTAGTCCCAGTCAGGGTGCCGGATTCTGTCCCGGTTGCCCCTCTTCCAGGCCAGCTCTCTGCTGTGGCCAGGGAGTGCAGTGGAGGATGGCCCAGGTGCTTGGGCCCTGCACCCCATGGGAGACCAGGAGAAGCACTTGGCTCCTGCCATTGGATCAGCGTGGTACGCCGGCCGCAGCGTTCCGGCCACGGCGGCCATTGGAGGGTGAACCAACAGCAAAAGGAAGACCTTTCTCTCTGTCTCTCTCACTGTCCACTCTGCCTGTCAAAAAAATAAAAAAATAAAATAAATCATACTTCCACTTACAGATAAAAATTATTCAGGGCTGGTGCTGTAGCATAGTATGTTAAGCCTCCACCCGTGGCACCAGCATCCCAAATAGGTGCCAGTTTGAGTCCCAGCTGCTCTACTTCCGATCTAGCTCTCTGCTATGGTCTGGGAAAGCAGTAGAAGATGGCCCAAGTCCTTGGGCCCCTGCAGCCACATGGGAGATCCAGAAGAAGCTCCTGGCTCCTGGCTTCAGATTGGTTCAGCTCTGGCCATTGTGGCCATTTGAGGAGTGAATCAGCGGACGGAAGACCTCTCTCTGTCAATAACTCTGCTTCTCAAATTTAACCAAAAAAAAAAAAAAAGATTTATTAAATAAAACTACCCTGATTGGGAAGTTTAAGAAACAATTTTTTTTCAAGGAGTGCAGGGCCCTGTTATCCCAAATTACACATACTTTACTTAGAAATGAGGGCCAGAGGTGTCATACCGCGTTACAGGAGAGAAAACACAGGCTTTTCCTTACTTGAAGAAATCTCAACAAGGGAGCTCTGACCCCATCTCCTTCCTTCACAAATGAAGAAACCAGCAACGCTGCTTCCTCCCAAGTCACACTTCCGGACCCTCTGACATCGCCGATACCCCCACGAGCCAGGTCCTAGGCTCTCTGTACTGATAGCAACTTAATCAGATTCTACACATTTTACATGTCCAAAGAAAGAATTAAGGATTTCCTAAGTTGATCCCATACACGGATCTGAAGAATCTCTGAAGTCCAAGGAATTCTGGATTTATCCTAATGAGAATTTTTATTTTTTTTATTTTTTTTATTTTTGACAGGCAGAGTGGACAGTGAGAGAGAGAGACAGAGAGAAAGGTCTTCCTTTGCCGTTGGTTCACCCTCCAATGGCCGCCGCGGCCGGCGCGCTGCGGCCGGCGCACCGCGCTGATCCGATGGCAGGAGCCAGGAGCCAGGTGCTTTTCCTGGTCTCCCATGGGGTGCAGGGCCCAAGCACCTGGGCCATCCTCCACTGCACTCCCTAGCCACAGCAGAGGGCTGGCCTGGAAGAGGGGCAACCGGGACAGAATCCGGCGCCCCGACCGGGACTAGAACCCGGTGTGCCGGCGCCGCTAGGCGGAGGATTAGCCTAGTGAGCCGCGGCGCCGGCCCCTAATGAGAATTTTAAAATACAGAATGAGCGGGGGGCGGTGTCGTGGCTCACTTGGTTAATCCTCTGCCTGCGGCGCCAGCATCCCATATGGGTGCTGGGTTCTGTTCCGGTTGCTCCTCTTCCAGTCCAGCTCTCTGCTGTGGCCCGGGAGTGCAGTGGAGGATGGCCCAAGTGCTTGGGCCCTGCACCCCATGGGAGACCAGGAGGAGGCACCTGGCTCCTGCCATCAGATCGGCACAGCACACCAGCCATGGCGGCCATTTGGGGAGTGAACCAACGGAAGGAAGACCTTTCTCTCTGTCTCTCTCACTGTCCAACTCTGCCTAATAATAAATAAATAAATAAATAAATACATACATACAATACAATACAATACAATACAGAATGAGCATAAAAATTCCAGGTGTTAACTCCAAGTTCCACAGATAAGCACTAACACATTGGAGGCCCTGGATTTTTTACATTTCACGCTCTTACCTTCCCCCCGAACCCTCCTCTGCACCATGGACAATTTCAATCACACACTGCCCTTACCCGGTACCTCAATGACACTATTTTGTTCACTTACAAACAATCACAATTTCATACATGCTCTTGTCTCTATTAGGTAACCGCACCAGGTAAACTACCTATGACTTCTAGTTACTCACTCTTTCAACTCAATAAGAACTTTAAGGATAGTGTACCTTTGTTTTACACATCAACACACAATCCCACATTTAGCACAATCCTAACAGCTAACATCACTGAGCACGCCTTCTGCTTATGACTAACTGCGCCCAGGGAAGTCCTAAGTGTGCTCTTCCCAGGACTAACCCATCTCCTCCTGGCTGGAGGTAAGTGCGATTGTTACCCTATGCAGTGTAAGCTCCACTGGACACCCTGCTCCGTAAGGGCAGCTGTTTGTATCTGTCTTGTTCACTGCTTTACCTTTTAGCCTAAGTCAGTGCCTGGCACATGTTGAGGGCATACTTACTGAATACATGGACAAATGACATTAACAGAAAAAACAGTACAAAGATCACGATCAAGCTCATAGTCACTGCATGACAGAGCTGGGATTCAAACTGCTTTGTTGTTGTGGTGGGACTCCACCACCCCTCTTTTTACAGAGGACAGAAAGCACATTTTAGATTTTACAAGCTGTAAGGTCCCTGTCTCAATTACTCAAACTGTACTATTCAAGGGTAAAACAGTCATAACCCTTCCCTTCCCCCCAAAAAACCTAAAGGAATGGACACAGCTCTATCTCAGTGAAACATTGTTTACAAAAATGAACCCACAGGCCACAGGAAGGCATCCCCTGCATTAAATCGTTCAAACATTCAAGCTCTTCCCAACACCTTTCCTGGCCTCGATGAGAGGGAGGTCTGCAGGTCTCAGAACCAACCTGGTTCTGTGTTTTTACGTTATAAAGCAGAGTCAACCCTCTCTGCGTCTCAAATCAGAACCCTCCATGGCTTCAGCGGGTTTCTTGAACCTCAGCGCCCAGGCAGGTATGGAGGGGTGTGTGCAAGTGCACGGACAGAGTTAATCCAGAATCTGTCTTCACAAGACAGTCTGACCTTACATTAAGCACCGCGATCTGGAAACAATGCAAAGACTGCGCCTGGAAGACGGGCAGGGCACAGGATTGGCTGTTTCTGTACTCTTAAGGAAAACAGCCTAACCAAAACCAAACACTACCCTGGTTAAACGTGAGGCTGAACATAGCTGAAGGCATTAATCATCAGGCAGGATAATAAAGGAATACGCACTCTCTCTCCCAACTGTTTACTGCTTATATTTTTCTTGGAACAGAAATGCATTTTATATATTATATGAACCTGTAAAAAACACATACTTGCTAAAATATTTGAGCACATACTCTGTATCCAGAGTATTAAAACATGAAATATTCCATCATCACGAAAGAATTTTGAGTTCACAAAGGTTTAAACACCCACCTGACTCCAGCTATGGTAACAACTACATAACAAAAACTAAACAGCTCTTCATGCTAACTGGATAATCTTATTGACTATTCAGTGTGTAACAAAGCAGGACAAACGTCTCCTTAAGGCAGGTCCATCTCAGTAACTGTCACAGAAGTAACAGAGGGGCCATATTGTGCCTTGGCAGGTAAAGCCTGTGGCACCGGCATCCCAAAAGGGCGCTGGCTTGACTCCCGGCTGCTCCACTTCCAATCCGGCTCCCTGCTCATGCACCTGGGAAAGCAGCAGAAGATGGTCCAAGGGCTTGGGCCCCTGAACCCACATGGGAGCCCAGGAGGAAGCTTCTGGCTGCTGCAGCCATTAGGGGAATGAACCAGCGGATAGAAGATTTCTCTGTTTCTCCCTCTCTAATTTTTTCAAATAAATAAAATAAGTCTTAAAAAAATAAATAAATAAAAAAGAAGTATCAGGGGAAAGTTTGAAGAGGGAAACCAAAATCAACTATTTTCAAAACACAGGAATAGCTTTCTGGTTTATTTTAAATTACTACCCATACATATATAAAATGATTCAAATTCAGTGTTGTCCTTGTTCAAATTATATCAATATTATTTGACTCAAGAAGTCCAACTTAATATATTTACCATGAAATTATGTGCGAAATGGTATGTGAGAATGGAAGGCTGAGACAGGCAGAGTTACTCCTCACAGAACACTTCTAAAAACGTCCATTTGTGTCAGAACCACTGGCAAAGCCCAATCTGATCAGGACACGTGAAGAGCAGCAGTGGGCAACATTTCTGGGTGACTGTCATGCATCAGCATCACTTAAGTGTACTTTACAGGAAAAGGGCCCTCAGGGTCAGCACCTGCAGCGCCGGCATCCCACATGGACACCGGCTCAAGACCCGGCTGCTCCATTTCCCATCCAGCTCTCTGCTATGGCCTGGAAAAGCAGTGGAAGACAGCCCAAATGCTTGGGCCCCTGCACCCACAGCAGAGACTGGGAAGAAGCTCCTGGCTCCTGGCTCCGGATCGGTGCAGCTCCGGCCGTTGTGGCCAATTGGGGAGTGAACCAGCAGATGGAAAACCTCCCTCTTTCTCTGTGGAATTCAGCCTTTCAAATAAATAAATGAAAATCTTAAAAAAAAAAAAAAAAAAGGAAGGAAGGAAGGAAGGAAGGAAGGAAGGAAGGAAGGAAGGGAGGGAGGGAGGGAGGGAGGGAGGGAGGGAGGGAGGGAGAAAGAAAGAAAGAAGAAAGAAAGAAAGAAAGAAAGAAAGAAAGAAAGAAAGAAAGAAAGAAAGAAAGAAAGTCAGTCCTCAAAATGCTCATGGAAAACGTGCATTATGAAAACACTACGTATGGATTTCAAAATATTTTGCATCAAAATAAATGTTTTAATTCCATTTTCCACAAACTTTTTGAAGCATGCTTGTAAATAGCTTTAATGACCTCAGCAACCCTGGAAGCACAATTCACACATCACTTTTTCTCTTTTGAGAAAACTGTGGCTCAATTAACTTTTTTTTTTTTTTTTAAGATTTTATTGTATTTGAAAGGTAGAGTTAAGAGAGAGGCAGAGACAGGGGTGGGGGCTGGGGGCTGTAGGAGAGAGAGAGAGACAGAAAGGTAGGTAGGTCTTTCATCGCTGGTTGACTCCCCAGATGGCTGCAATGGCCAGAGCTGCGCCAATCCAAAGCCAAGAACCAGGAGCTTCCTCAGGGTCTCCCATGAGGGTGCAAAGGCCCAAGGACTTGGGCCATCTTCTCCTGGTTTCTCTGCCATAGCAGAGAGCTGGATTGGAAGTGGAGCAGCTGGGACTCGAACCGGCACCCAAATATGATGCTGGCACTGCAGGCAGTGGCTCTACCAGCTATGCCACTGTACTGGCCCCTCAATTAACCCTTTCTAAAAAGATTTATTTATTTACTTGAAAGAAAGAGTGACGGAAACAGAGGGAGAGATCGATCTTCCCTTTGCTGGTTCACTCCCCAAATGACCACAAAAGCTAGGGCTGGGCCAGGCTGAAGCCAGAACTCCATCCAGCTATCCATGTGGGCGGCAAGAACTTAAGGACTTGGGCCATCATCTGCTGCCTTCCCAGGTACATTAGCAGGAAGCTCGGTCAGGAGAGAGCAGACAGGACTGGAACCAACACTCCATGCAGGACGCTGGCTTCCCCACTGTGCCACAGGGCCCACTGCATCAAGTACTCCTGCCTCAGATCATCTCGCCAGCGAGCACGTGGCCCAGGCAGGTCTGCTTGGCCTCTTCAAGTCCAATGTTGTCTTCAGTGTCATAGTTGAATGTTCTTGGAGTAGGGCTCTGAGGCCCAAAAACAAGTCTCAGGAAGTTCATGGACCTCTGCAAACCGTATGAAAAACTGTACGAGTACGGGTATGTGAACTTTTCTGAGAGGGAAAAAGTAAGACAAAATAGACATCATGCATCAGATCAGAAAATACAATCACCTTTACTTAAAACAGCTTCTTTAGTGATATCTGCATGAATGTGCGTTGTAAAACGCCAGAACGCCACAGAAAGAGCAGCAACAGAAGTCAGTGGGGGGCCGGCGCCGTGGCTCAATAGGCTAATCCTCCGCCTAGCGGTGCCGGCACACCGAGTTCTAGTCCTGGTTGGGGCGCCGGATTCTGTCCCGGTTGCCCCTCTTCCAGGCCAGCTCTCTGCTGTGGCCAGGGAGTGCAGTGGAGGATGGCCCAGGTGCTTGGGCCCTGCACCCCATGGGAGACCAGGAAAAGCACCTGGCTCCTGGCTCCTGCCATCGGATCAGCGCGGTGTGCCGGCCGCGGCGGCCATTGGAGGGTGAACCAATGGCAAAGGAAGACCTTTCTTTCTGTCTCTCTCTCTCACTGTCCACTCTGCCTGTCAAAATAAATAAATAAATTAAAAAAAAAAAAAAAAGAAGTCAGTGGGGGATTCAGGAGGGAGGAAGTATGGAAACCGCTGTAGCTTCCACCTGCACCCCAAGGGTGCTGCTGCCTATGCGTGGCGGAACCTTACAGAGGGCACAGCCACCCTGACTCAGGGGCATGGGAACTGAAGGTCACGTGCCCAGCCTGGGCTCACGACTGAGGATGGACAAGCGGGCTGTGCAGTGGCCCAGGTATCAGTGCCACAGTGGCTCCACTTCATCCCCAGCTCCAGATTTCTAATCAACAACACAGGCACAGTCTCAACAACAGAGCAGATGACAGACTGCCCAAGCACTGGGCATTACTACGTTAAACGAACTGGAGATCCAGGTCACGACATACGGCAACAGAGAAGAGATGAAATCTTTAAGAATGGAAATTTCTCAAATACTGTGTGCTTTGCAAAGGCTCCTTCAACACTCCATGTCCTATCTTTATTATGAACAATCACGTTAAGGGAGGAAAAGTGTAATTACGTAGACTAAAAGTGCCCAAAGTCACTCTGGGCAATCACCAAATTCTAACCAGATTTCCCAACATTAACTGTATTTTAATAAAACTGAAATACTATAGAATATTCCTGAATGAGTCAATAAGCAAATAAGTAAATGTTTGAACAGAATTAAGACAGCTAAATGTGGACTAAATATAAACTCTGAGCAAGAGCACACCCCTTCTACAAACCTTCACAATATTTGAGTTTTCCAACTTTAGCTTTAATTTCTTATAAAATCTCCAAGTCACTTAACAGACAGCAGCAACCAGAGCCCGTGCTTTAGTCCAGAACAGGGACACAAAGCCCTCCATCTAGGACCGGCTCCCTTCAAGAGGCCTCCCAGCGTGGTGAGCCCAGCGTCTCCTCGCCCTGGCCAGCCCCACGTCCTCCCTGACAAGAAGGAAGGACCAAGGGCCAGGATTTCTCCCAGTCAGCCGAGCCCAGAGTCTCCACCTCTGGAAGGGGTCACCAGTGCTACCAAGCTCACAGGCATCGACACAGCGCGCGGGGTGGGGGGGGCGTGCTAGTGCGGCGTGCCCCCCTCCCCCGCCTCGTTCCACAGGGACATTTCCACTTCACTGTTCCTTCTCAGTCGGGTGACTGAGATGTCCCTGGAGCTGGGACGCTGTGCTGCACGGCAGCACCTCAGGGCCGGGGCACAGGTGGGTGGGGAGGCCTGCTCTGCGCTGTCAACCACGCCCCCATTCTCCGCTCCTCCCAGGCGGCTCTGGCTTTCCAGGTGGGGGCAGGAGACCAGACTGCAACCTCACCCGACTACCCCAATGTTCACGCGACAGTCTCCTCGCCTGCCTCCCCTCCACTGGACAAACGGCTGTGACAAATGCACAGAGGTCTGACCAAAGACGCACCTGAGGGAAATGCTGAGTAGGAGGCAGGGCACCCAGCACACCCACAGCCTGCACTGGTGACCACCACAGGCACCTCGCGTGCTGGAAGTCCAAGCACACTGGGAGGGGCGGACGTGTCTTTGCTGCTGCCGCGGTCTCTCACTGCATTCCAGTTCAGTCCTGCTGGCCACCCTCTCCAGCGGGAGGACTGGGGTAGGCCCTCTCCACAGTTCATGCCCAGAACAGGAAATCTGTACGCGGAACACACCAACCGTGTTTGCTCTCGTTCTCCCAATGGTGGAGCCTCCCCTTCCCTCCCTCTCTCCCTGCCCCAGCTAAAAGTTAGATCATTTCATTTTTTGCCTTTGGTTTCCTTGTGCTTATTTTTTTTGTTTTCAGTTTTCATAACTGTCCATTCAGTAAAAAGTTGGTTCCGTTCCCACTGAGCCCCCACAGAGGGCAGACACGGACATCATAGCACGATCAAAAGACACTTAGAGAGCCAAAGGACAAGAAACTGCAATAAAAGGCACACAGACTGGAGAAGCAGCAGCACTGGAGCCTTACACACCCCGAATGGGGCTGTCGAGGTGGAAGACCCCAGGAAATCTACTTTATAAAACCCCGAGAATAAGCCAGTTGAGCAAGGCCACAGGATACCAAGTTAACCCATAACAACTAACAGCACTGCTATACAAGCAGGGACAACCAGGAACTAGGTTTTTTTCAAAGTAACATTTACAGTAGCCCCCTGCCCCCAAGTAATAAACCAGGATCTAAATCTAACCAAGCAAGTCCAGGCTCTGATGCTGCAAACCACAGACAAGGTGAAGGCAGCAAAGGAGATGGAAACGAAAGCCACTCGGCCATCATGGGTAACAGTCCACAGCCTAGAGCCAAGGTGCAGACGGAGAGTGTGGGGTGCAGCGGTCCTGGCCCTCAGCTCCCTTTCCCTGAGAATTTCACTGGGACTCAGGATGGGTCCTGGCAGCAGGACACTCTCCTGGCCACACACCTGCCACCTCAGAACAGGCAGCTCCACACGTGTATCAGGGGCTCAGCTGCAGGGACCTACATGTGGTTCATCCTGGGACACTCCTGAGCCTGAGGCTGCCCACGCCAACGCATCCAAGGAGCCCTCTGTAGGCTGAACTTCCTTTGAACGTACCCCACAGAAAGACACACACTGCAACCCACCACACAGACAGGGAAACCCATGTGTGAGGGACTGCACAGGGTCTGTGGAAAATGAACCCTGCCGGCGCCGCGGCTCACTGGACTAATCCTCCGCCTAGCGGCGCCGGCACACCGGGTTCTAGTCCCGGTCAGGGTGCCGGATTCTGTCCCGGTTGCCCCTCTTCCAGGCCAGCTCTCTGCTGTGGCCAGGGAGTGCAGTGGAGGATGGCCCAGGTGCTTGGGCCCTGCACCCCATGGGAGACCAGGAAAAGCACCTGGCTCCTGGCTCCTGCCATCGGATCAGCGCGGTGCACCGGCCGCAGCGCGCTGGCCGCGGCGGCCATTGGAGAGTGAACCAACGGCAAAGGAAGACCTTTCTTTCTGTCTCTCTCTCTCACTGTCCACTCTGCCTGTCCAAAAAAAAAAAAAAAAAAAAAAAAAGGAAAATGAACCCTATTTTAAAAATCTGCATGGATCTCAAAATGTTTTTGCACCAAAATAAACCTATCTTTTAATTCCACTTTCTTGTAATCTTTGAATCGCCTCTATTCATCACATACCACCCATCTTTCTTACGTCATCTGTTCCAATTTGCCACAGTATTTCTTACAATATATATACACAAGTCATACATGAAAACATTTTGTATTTTGCATTACACTGTCTCGATTTTAAAAATCCACATATAGGGGCTGGCGCTGTAAGCACGTAAGGTTGCCACCTGTAGTGCCGGTACTCCCATGGGCCCCAGTCAGAGTCCCAGCTTCTCCACTTCCCTCCGAGCTCTCTGCTGTGGCCTGGGAAAGCGGTGGAAGATGGCCCAAGTCCTTGGACCCCTGCACCAGTGTTGGCAGACCCAGAAGAAGCTCCTGGCTCCTGATTAGTGTAGCTCTGGCCGTTAAGGACAAATGGGGAGTGAACCAGCAGATCGAAGACCTCTTTCTCGCTCTCTATCTGCTTTTCCTCTTTGTCTGTAACTCTTCCAAATAAACAAATAAATAAATCCTTAAAAAAAAAAAAAAAGGAAGAAAAAAGATGGGATTCAAACAGGGGTTTCAATCATCTTTGTATGTGGCTGAACAAAAACTGCCTCTGTGACGTGGCCTCCCACCTGAAAGCAGAGGCAGCCCTTGGAAGCCTGGTGCGGACAGCGGCCAGGTCCAGAAGCCCTTCACCACTCGTAGCAGCTACCAGTGCCAGCAGCTTGCACAGCCCCTCTAGGGACCTGCATCTGTGATCTTTACACAGAACTGTGTACAGCGGCAAAGCACTTGTGGCAAATTTCACTTAACCAACATATTCATAAACTGTGTCCCGTGAAAACTTCCCGTAGTTTGAAATTTCTTGATACTCTCTGGATCAGGCTCCAATGCTGCACAGAGTAAACTCATTCATCAGCCGCTCCTGAGCGCCTGGCAGACACTGTCCCAGGATACTCAGAGACAAGAGAAGAGTCACCCATGGCCAGGAGAAGCCCTGAGGCTGGCGTCACGAGCAACCTGGGCCTGCTCTGCTCCTCTCAGCCAAGCCTCTCCAAGCTCCTCCCTGCTCCGCTCAGTTGTGCAAGAACACTTTGTTTTTCTTTCTAGTAACTTCACTGCTTCTCAATCGTCCCTTCATTGTCTTGTAACTAAAAGGTCACCCGCATGTCCTCAAGGCCCAGGCCCAGTGCCTCTTCCCAGTCAACCTTCACCTTCCTTACACCGTGGTATTCACGGCATTTGGTCCTGCTCACAGACAAATCTCTACCTCTCATCCTTGATCCTGGACCAGCCTAGCTCAGTGCCCTGTACCGAGAAGATTCTGTGGGACTTGTGCTTAGGAATGTAACAATTAAGCCACACCTTTGGGGGCGGGAAGATGGCCATGGGCACCCACCTGCAGACGCTACTCACTGAAAGCATCTGAGTCCCTGGTGACCCCCACTCACAAAGGGCTCAGCAACCCAACAACGTCCTAAAACACTTTTCTGATAAAGATTTATTTTATTTATTTCAAAAGCAGAGTAACAGAGATAGCGAGAGAGAGGGATCTTTCATCTACTGGTTCACTCTCCAGATGGCCACAATGGCCAGGGCTGGACCAGGTCAAAGCCAGGAGCTCCATCCAGGTCTCCCATGTGGGTGGCAGGGGCCCAGGTCCTTGGGCCATTTTCTCCTGCTTTCCCAGGCACATCAACAGGGAGCTAGATGGGAAGTAGAGCAGCCAGCCAAGAGCTGAACAGGAGCCACAGCACTGGCCTCAAATTTCTAACATTTTCTATCTTTAATTTTGTTAGATGGAAATACTAGAAAGTAGAGCAAGAGTGCCATCCTCAAGGCAGCCCTATCAACAAGTCAGTGTGTCTTCATCTGCCCTCCCCACACTTGTCCCCCATGAATATTTAAAACAAATTTCAGACATACCATTTCACTGGCTAATATTTTAGTATTTCTAACAGATAACACCTTCACAAAAATAATATATTGCCTCTAGTTTCACTTAGTAAGATTCATTATAATTTAGACAGTCCATGTTCTAAAACTCACCCAAAGTCCTAATCCAAAGTCCACTCAACACTCGGTGTGTGCCTTCCATTCATATCACTGGCACCTGCAGTGGCGGGCGCCTCCCCACTGTCACCTCACAACCTGCTGCCTGCATGCTGATTAACATATCCTAACCTAACACATCGAGAAGCTGGATTCAACTCCGACTACTCCAACTGTTTTAGCAAGAAAACTTCAGAGACGATGTTAGACTTCTTACTAACACTAGAAAGTGCACAATACCAGATTTCTCATTTCCAGTGATTTATCAGTGAGTTCTGGTATGCATCCATTACATAGGTTCTCAGTACCCTGTTAGCAGCCACTGACAATAGCACCTAAATCCGATATTCCTTGATGGGCTACAAACGTGAAATGGCAGCTTTATTAGTTGTACTGCTTCATTTATTACCTAGAATTTCTCTATAAAGAGGCATTTCTCATCCACTTTGCAAATGAAACACAATCTAAACCTCAAAGGCAGAGGAAATCCGTGAACCTCTCCCTTCAGCAATTTTTAGCATAGGAACTGATGCCCTGGTAATTTTCAAATGTGATTAAATTCTTACTTTCTTAGAATCGTAGATAATGTATTTCAATCCACTGCAGTCATCTTCTTTTTCCAAAAGCTGTGGCTCAAACCAGCATAACTGAGGTCGTCTGAGTGACCACGAATGCCAAGAGGTAGCTCATAATTTCTCTGCATCTTCTTTTATTCCTACAGTGATGTTTTCAAAATCAATTTGGGGGGACCAGCACTGTGGTTTAAGCCTCTGCCTGTGGTGCCGGTATCCCATGTGGCACTGATTCGTTACTGGCTGCTCCTCTTCGGATCCAGCTCTCCTATGGCCTGGGAAAGCAGTGGAGGATGGCCCAAGTGCTTGGGCCCTGCATCTGCGTGGGAGACCCGGAAGAAGCTCCTAGCATTCGATGGGCGCAGCTCCAGCCGTTGCGGCCATTTGGGGGAATGACTCTGCCTCTCAAGTAAATACATTTTAAAAAATCTTTTTAAAAAAATCAATTCAGGGAGTAGGTGCTTAGCCTAGCAGTGAAGACGCCCATGCCCACACTGCAGTGCCTGCATCTGATTCAGCTCCAGTGATGACTCCAGCTGTCTGCCAACACAGACCCTGGGATAGGCGTTGTGTCCCTGCCTGCCACCCAGGTGGGAAACCTGAATTGCATTCTCAGCTTTGGCCCTGCCCAGCCCAGCACCAGCCCTTGCACACATGTGGGGAGTTAACCAGTAGATGGGAACACTCAGTTGCTCTAAGTAAATAAATCAAAACTTAAGGAAGCAAAATCAGTTCAGATGATCCTCTCAGCGAGATCCACAGAATCCTTCCTTCCTTTCTCCAGGGCATCTTCCACATTTCCTTCTTTCTTTCTTTTTTTTTTTTTTTTTTTTTGACAGGCAGAGTGGACAGTGAGAGAGAGAGAGAGAGAAAGGTCTTCCTTTGCCGTTGGTTCACCCTCCAATGGCCGCCGCTGCAGCCGGCGCACCGCGCTGATCCTGGCAGGAGCCAGGAGCCAGGTGCTTTTCCTGGTCTCCCATGGGGTGCAGGGCCCAAGCACCTGGGCCATCCTCCACTGCACTCCCTGGCCATAGCAGAGAGCTGGCCTGGAAGAGGGGCAACCGGGACAGAATCTGGCGCCCCAACCGGGACTAGAACCCGGTGTGCCGGCGCCGCAAGGTGGAGGATTAGCCTATTGAGCCACGGCGCCGGCTCATACATTTCCTTCTTTCTTTTGAGGAGGTATTGATTCTACATTTTCTTCTTTTGATCTAATTTTTTATTTAAGTAACACACACACCAGATTTCAAAGTAATGCCGGAAAACAAGGGCATTCAGAGAATTCTAGTTACTAGTCCACCTTAGTCCCTCTGCTCTTCTCATTTTTTTTTAAAGAATTATTTTATTTATTTGAAAGACAGAGAGAGAGGTCCCCATCCACTGGTTCACTCCTCAGATGGCTGCGACGGCCGGAGCTGCACCAATCCGAAGCCAGAAGCTTCTTCTGGGTCTCCCACGTGGGTGCAGGGGCCCAAGGACTTGGGCCATCTTCCACCACTATCCCAGGCCACAGCAAAGAGCTGAATGGGAAGTGGAGCAGCTGGGACTAAAACTGCCACCCATAGGGGATGCTGGCGCTTCAGGCCAGGGCTTTCAACCCGCTGCGCCACAGTGCCGGCCCCCTTAGTTTTCATTTTTTAAATTTGCTTTTAGTTTTTTTTTTTTTTTTTTTTTTTTTTTTTTTTTTTTTTTTTTTTTGACAGGCAGAGTGGACAGTGAGAGAGAGAGACAGAGAGAAAGGTCTTCCTTTGCCGTTGGTTCACCCTCCAATGGCCGCCGCGGCCGGCGCGCTGCGGCCGGCGCACCGCGCTGATCCGATGGCAGGAGCCAGGAGCCAGGTGCTTTTCCTGGTCTCCCATGGGGTGCAGGGCCCAAGCACCTGGGCCATCCTCCACTGCACTCCCTGGCCACAGCAGAGGGCTGGCCTGGAAGAGGGGCAACCGGGACAGAATCCGGCGCCCCGACCGGGACTAGAACCCGGTGTGCCGGCGCCGCTAGGCGGAGGATTAGCCTACTGAGCCGCGGCGCCGGCTTGCTTTTAGTTTATTTTTTTCCATTACTTTTTCAAATACAAGGGAAAATGTGTGGCATATATAAACATATAAATTTGTATTTCTCCTTCTGTAGTACACAGAAGATGGCATACTCAGAAGCCAGTGCAAGTCCCAGCTGCTCCATTTTTCGATCCAATTCCCTTCTAAGGAGCCTGGGAAAGCAGTGGAAGATGGAGCAAGTACTTGGGTTCCTGCACCCAAGTGGGAGACCCAGATGAAGTTCTGGGTTCCTGGCTTCTTTGGCCTGGTCCGACCCCTGCCGTTGCAGCCATCTGGGGATGGAAGATCTCTGTGTCCCCCATCCCAAAATTCTGCCTTTCAAATAAGTAAATAAATCTTTAAAGTAATGTATTTTTTTAAATTCTAGCTATTATTGCCTACTTATTCATCTACCTAAATTCAGAATCGACTGACCTAGTCCTCCCCTAACACTGGACAACATTACTGCACTCACACTAAGGAGAGTGCGATCTGTACGGAACGGAGGCTGCGCCGAGCGCGCCGCACACAGCTGTCACATACAGCGCTTCCCCTGCAGTAGCGCTCTACACAAACAGCAAGCACGAAGGGCAGCAGTCTGCTCGGAATAAAGCCGTGACGTGGAGAGGTCCAGGAGCCTGTGCAGGGAAGACGCGAGCAGCCAACAGGTCAGCGGACGTCAGCAGGCAGGCAGAGGCGGGGGCCGCCCGGGGTGAGCCTCTGCAGCAGCAATCAGGGCTTACTTGGTGCAGAGGCGTTAACATCTCCCCAAATCTTGGAAGATAAAGCATGCACTGGTGAATTACGCCTCTGCTTAACTACTGACAAAGCGTGGATTTACCGAAATCCAAATGCCAGCTTCCCAGGGTCCGCGCTCAGTCTCCCTCCCATCAGCTCTGGGGTCTGTCTCACTCCTCAGTGCACTTCCATAGATCATGCTGAGGGGCCGTGGCAGCCCCCTCCTCTTGATGGATGTGGCCACCGCCCTGGGAAGGGTGCGAGCCGGGAGTGGTGGGAAGGTAATCTCTCAGGAACCCAGCAGTGGGGGTGGGGGAGTACGCCTTTACGTCGCTTTCCTACCTGCACATTTCTTTCTAAACATGCAGCCCCAGAATTCCTGAAAGGGATTTTTAACATTTACCAAACAGGTTTATCAGGTAGGATTCTGGCACTGTGCTGAGCACTCCCTCAGTGTTAAGTGAGCAGCAGATACTGCAGATGGGAGGCTGTTCCACAGGCAGGCCTGCTGCGACGTAAGCCAGACAGCGGTCCCTGCGCTCACCTGCACACGAAGGGTGGCACTGACATGCTCGCCACTGGGGCCGAGGCAACACAGCCTGTGCAGCCCAAAGGCCCTCCATGCCCAGCAGTGCAGCCTGATGTGCAGTGTGTGGTTCATGACTTGTGATGTGTCTACCCAGGCTCATTTTAACACGGGTGTAAATCAATTCTGTGGTTGCTTCAAGTTTGCTTAGCTCCCCCTCACCAAATCACGCAAAGGGTTGACATCTAGAAAGAAAAAGCCGTATCTCAGCTCACGTCTCCCCACAAAGGCAGTCAACAACACCCCACTGTGGGATACACGAGTGAGACGGTGACACGAGAAGAGACACAGCCCTACAAAGCTGGACAGGCCAGGTGCAACGCACCTCTCTTCTGGGTGCCCAGTCTCCAGAGTCTGAGGGGCACCCTGGGGAAGAGGGGCGGGGAGCCATAAACACCGCCCAAGTCTGCACTGAGTGGCTGGGCCAGGGACACATGAGGCCAGAGCAGCGGCGCCGACCCGGGGAGGTGAAGCACCCTCTCCTGCGGGCGTGCGTATGCGACTCAGTGCAGGAAGTCAGGGTCCGACTCCAGGAGGGCCTGGTCAGCCGCAGGCCACATGCAAAGACATCACATGAGCTCTGCAAGAATAGGCAAGAGCAGATGGATGCTGAAAATGCTCCAGTTCCAGCTGCTCTGCTTTTTTTTTTTTTTTTTTACTGTAAGAGTTATAGTCAGTGAGAGAGAGAGACAGAGAGAGAAAGGTCTTCCTTCCATTGTTCACCCCCCAAATGGCTGCCACGACCAGAACTGCACCGATCCGAAGCCAGGAGCCGGTGCTTCCTCCTGGTCTCCCATGCGGGTGCAGGGCCCAAGCACTTGGGCCATCCTCCACTGCCTTCCCAGACCACAGCAGAGAGCTGGCCTGGAAGAGGAGCAACCGGGACTAGAACCCGGCACCCATATGGGATGCCAGCGCCGCATGCAGAGGATTAACCAAGTGAGCCACGGCGCCGGCTCCCCAGCTGCTCTGCTTCTGATCCAGCTCCTTGTTAACGAGCCTTGGAAAGCAGCAGCACATGGCCCAATTGCTTGGTCCCTGTCACCTATGTGGGGACCCAGATGGAGTTCCAGGCTTCTGGCTTCAGCCTGGCCCAGCCTCAGCTGTTGTGGCCATGTGGGGAGTGAACCAGCAGAGAGAAGATACCTCTATCTCCATCTACTCCCTATCCCCTGACCCCATGCAAAAAAATTTATTAAAAAAAAAAAAAAAAAAGATTCTGAATTAAAGAAAAGGCCCGAGCTGAGGCCTCTGTGGCTGGTCCAGGATCTGCTGTCTGAGAAGTGGTAACAACAGGGACAGAAACGGATTCACAAGAAGCCATGCAACTGTTCTCACTTAGGGTTTGGAGCCAGGAAAGACACAGACGGAAGACATCTATCACCAGCAGATAGCAAAGCAGGGGGGACAGGCACACGAGGGTCGGCCGCAGCAGAGTAAGCACAGCAGAGCGAAGTCCGGGAGGCAAGGTGAGAAGCCGGGCGGCCTCTGAGGGGCAGCTGAGGCAGCTGCCAGGAACCCCACCCCGACTCAAGGCCGGGTACTCAGCTCCTGCCCTAGGCTTCATCCCGCTAACCTGGAGCCAGTCTGAGAGCAAGAGCAAGAGTGCAGAGCCTTGCGTAGACCAGAGTGTATGTGGGAGTTCTCCAGAGAGGCTCAGCAAGTCCAAGGGCACACACTGGCTCATGGCTGCACAGTCAGCACGAGGCCCAGAGCACACACCACTCAGAAAGATTCTACGTAATTTGCTTCTGACTGAAAGAATCTGCTTTATCTGCTGCCTGCCATTGCAAACATAAATAAGCAGCAGTCACTCTTTTCCTAAGGAAGGGAAAGGAAAGGGCAATTAAATATTTGAGCGTCTACGCTGGGGCAGGCGCTACGTTAGGCAAAATAGACAGAAAAATAAGCTGAGGCACCTTCCCCTAGACAAAGCAATCCAGGCATGTCAGGAAGATAAACCAGGGGAAAATAATTATTAAAATGACTTCAGAAAGGCTACAATAAAAGCCGGCACATGGGACAGAGAAACAGGCTTACCTTCTCCCTGTAACTTCAGCTTTCCACTTTTTCTGTGATATTTGTGAGCAAAACAGGGCATTTCGTGATTAATTTTTGTTGCTCAGCTCACTGAGACCACAAGGTGAAGAAATTTTTCAAAACTCGGCAAAACTGGGCAGTCAGTCTGCTCTGGCCCAGACCCCCTCCGGAGAGCACAGCGCCCGCAGCGCGCAGTCGGCCGTGGCCCGCTGAGGGGCGGCTACGCTTCAGCCCGCTCAGTGCAGCTGCGGCCGCACTGCGCGGCAGCCAGCCTCTTCCGTTTCAGCCAACATTGTAAAAATGCATCATCACAGCCCAGTTTTTTTTTCAGCCTTAATTAAAGGCCATTTAGACAAGCAACCAACTTTTGCTATTCCCTGGGGTGTAGCTTAAAACAGATTTTTATGTAATTACTAATAATGACCATGCAAAAGTAGGGAAGGGGTGTGTGATTAAAGAAATTAAAGAGCAAAGGCTTGTATAAAATGTGCTCCTCACTGGAGTCAGAAGGCTCAAAAAAAAACTCTCCAGCACAAACTGGGTTACAATGCCTTGTAAAAGGAGCTGACAACCAACATACTGCATTCCAACTCCATCAGTTATCACTGCTGCTCCCAGCGTCTCAATAAAGGAGAACAGGAAATGAAAACAAGCCCATGTGGCATTACCAGTGTTAGAAACAGGGAGTCCATTAAGAGCATTCACTTTCCCGTCCCTAAGACGCGACAGAGCGTGCCACGTGGCCAGCCACGGTACCGGGACCCCAGGGAGCATGAATTCGGATGCCACTGAGGCAGCCGTGAAAACTCAAGGTCACGGTCTGAACTGTGCTGGTAGATGGCAAAGACGTGCTGTGGCTTTAAGATCCCTGAACCAAGCCACATCCACCAGGACAAGGACTCCTGCTCCCAGGGAGTCTAGGCGCAGCAATCAGCACAGATCCACTTCTACGTGAAAGAACGCAGCAGCAGATTCCCCGAGCCCAGTGCCCGGCAGCGCCATCTTGCCCCTGCACCACGCTGCCCTGGGCAGAGCGAAGATTCCTGAAGGGATGAGAGGTTCCCTGTCTTGACTGGAGGGACAGCTGTGCAGCTGCACGTCCTACTGTAACCAGTACAAGGGCACGACAGACTGCTGCCCACTCCCTCGGCCACCTCAGTGCACGCTGCAGGGGAGGCAGGACCCCTCCCCCAAAAGGAGGGTGTGAGGGAGGACGACAGGACTCTATGCCACCCACCCTGGAAGCCCGTGCAGCGTTAACTTCTGCGGGAAGCTCCACACCACGCTTCAAGGCCACTGGAAGAGCAGGACTACTCTGCCCAGTCACAGTCTGCTGTATCTTGTATTTTAGCATCTCACTCTTGGCTTCACTTTCACTTCCTTCTTTGCAGTAGCGCATAGAATACTTGAGGCACAGTGCGTCCTTTTTTTCAAGGTTTGTTCATTATTTTTAAAATTTATATGAAGAGCAGAGTTAGAGAAGGACAGAGAGGACCTCCATCAGCTGGTTCACTCGCCAGATAATCGCAATAGCCAGGGCTGGGCCAGGCCAAAGCCAGGAGCCAGGAGCTTCATCCAAATCTCCCATGTGGGTGCAGGGGCCCGAGCACTTGGGCCATCTTTCACTGCTTTCCCAAATGCGTTAGCAGGGAGCTGGATCAGAAGTGGAGCAGCCAGGACTCGAACTGGTGCCCACACAGGATGCAGCACTGCAGGTGGCAACTTAACCCATTACCCCACAACACCAGCCTTCACAATATACTATTTTTAAAAAAGATTTAGCCGGCGCCGTGGCTCACTAGGCTAATCCTCCGCCTAGCGGCGCCGGCACACCGGGTTCTAGTCCCGGTCGGGGCGCCGGATTCTGTCCCGGTTGCCCCTCTTCCAGGCCAGCCCTCTGCTGTGGCCAGGGAGTGCAGTGGAGGATGGCCCAAGTGCTTGGGCCCTGCACCCCATGGGAGACCAGGAAAAGCACCTGGCTCCTGGCTCCTGCCATCGGATCAGCGTGGTGCGCCGGCCGCAGTGCGCCGGCCGCGGCGGCCATTGGAGGGTGAACCAACGGCAAAGGAAGACCTTTCTCTCTGTCTCTCTCTCTCACTGTCCACTCTGCCTGTCAAAAAAAAAAATTATTTATTTATTTATTTGAAAGACAGAATTACAGAAAGGAAGAGCAGAGAGAGAGACAGAGACAGAGAAAAAGAGAAAGAGAAGGGGTGGCGGGAGGAGGTCTTCCAACCGCTGGGTCACTGCCCAAATGGCCACAACAGCCAGAGCTGAGCCGATCCGAAGCCAGGAGCCAGGAGTTTCTTCCAGGTTTCCCACCGGGTGCAGGGGCCCAAGGACTTGGGCCATCTTCTGCTGCTTTCCCAGGCCACAGCAGAGAGCTGGATCAGAAGTGGAGCAGCCGGGACTAGAACTGGTGCCGACAGGGATGCTGGCACTGCAGGCAAGGCCTTACCCGCTACACCACAGCACCGGACCCCACAATATGCTCTTAATAAATATTTGCATTTGTTTCTCCAACAATATGTTTTTACAGTTACCTTTAAAGATATGATAGTCACCGTTTAAACAGAATGTTACTTTTAAGTAAGAATAATGTCTAAATTACATTAAATCTTGGACACTCTGTGCAGATTTAAATCTCTTCTTTTTTGGATATGCAGAGATGCTACTGTCATGATTTATAAGTCCATAAAAGCCATATACTTCCTGGGCAGAATAGACAGCAAGCCTGGAATGCGCAACAACGCACTAGCATTCTTGCTGTAAAGGTTACTGATGCCTCGGGCTGCTAGAAAACGAGATGTCACATGAAGCTGTGCTTCGGGAGCTTCCCCACAGAGGAAAGCATTTCATGCTGCTCCATCAATTCAGCCCTAAATCACCGCTCCTGGCACTCTGCTGTGAGTGCATGCACAGCACACGGGCCGGTGTGCTCAGTGGAACACCTGGCAATCCAACAAAAACAACGGCCACGAACTATCAGAACGCGAAACACTGCACGAACCACGAACTCCAGGCTGCAGCCATCTTGAAGGGCTGGTGTTGTGGTGCAATGAGGAAGCTGCCACCTCCAACACTGGCATCCTACCCTGGAGTGCCATTTCAGTCTCGGCTGCTCCACTTCTGACCCAGTTCCTTGCTAATGTACCTGGGAAAGCAGCCAAAGACGGCCACGTACTGCGGCCCCTGCCACCCAGGTAGGAGACCCACATGGAATTCCTGGCTCCTGGTTTCTGCCTGTCGTAGCCCCAGTCCCAGCCACTGAAGCCATGTGGGCAGTGACCAGCAAATGGAAGATCTCCTTCTCTCTTTCCTTCCCTCTCTCTCAGTCACTTTAAATAACGTAAATCTTTCTATGAGGTGGGGGAGGAAGAGGGAGAGAACTAACAGTATAAATAAAGTCTGTATTAAAAAGAAAGCAGTCGTGAAATCAGGCATGATGTTCTTCAAGAAGCTTCAGTGTCCACAGGTCAACAACTTGAATCTAAGGCTTCACACCAAACATTCTGCATTTGTCCCAAGCACAACACAGAAGTGGATACACCGCAAGCCAGCAGGTAGCACCTCCAAGTGCCAGTGAGGCAGCTGCAGTGACAAGCGCAGGGCTCCTCAGGTGCCTGAGCTCTGCACACGGTACTTCTGCACAGTCCCGGGGCCACAGCGCACCTGCTTCACGGGGGAGCTCGGAACAACAGCGCGAGGCCCAGGGCAGGTGTCTCCCAACCACTGCACAGGGCTTCCTGGGCATTGTCAGCCTGCTGTGCAAACGCTGCAGCACCAGCTGTAGTTTGAACTTATGTACTTCATCTCAAAGGCCGGACCAAACAACAAACGTGTACACAGAAGTCCACTAAATACCAATGTAATGAATGTACCCTAACGCATACTGTCTGGAAAAAGTGTATCAGAGTGTATTATTCTAAAAAGCCCAAGTTGACTCACCATATAACATCAGTTGAATTGAAGATTCTCAAATCACAATTTTGATTTAGTAACTAAAACATGAAAACAATTTGACGTGGAAAGTTACTCTGTGATTGGCTGGCGCTGTGGCATGCCAGGTAAAGCCATCACCCGTGGCATCAGCACCACACGTAAGTGCCAGCTCACGTCCGGCTGCCCCACTTGAGATCCAGCTCCCTGCTAATAAAGACCTGGCAGTAGCAGCAGCAGAAGGCCCAAACGTTTGGGTCCCTGCCACCCATGGGAGACCTGGAAGAAGCTCCTGGCTCCGGGTTTCAGCTTGGCCCAGCCTTGGCCAGTGGGGTCATCTAGGGAGTGAACCAGCTGATGGATCTCTCTTTCCATCTCTTCCTTCTTCTCTTTAACACTTTCAAATAGTTTAAAAAGAGAGAGAGAGAGACAAACTTTCTTGGATCCTACATGCATGTGAAATTTTCTTTTACCCTAACTATATCTGCTAACCCTATACTAACGTTTCTTCTAAATTTGCTAGAATAATATTACAAGATTAAAAACAGAAAGGACCTGTTTTCTTGCTCCAAAGAGTCCAACCCCACGGCCCAAATGGGGTGGCAGCAAAATTCTGAACCAGGCCTGCCTCAGCCACTCGGAGATGAGGGATCCTGGCACTAGGCACCCACATTTAAAATAATGTTTGAATTTATAGTTATTTATCCTTTGGTTCACTACCCAAAGGATCACAACAATAGGGGGGAGGCCAGGAAGAATGCAGTCCTGGTCTCCAAACTGGATGACAGGGACCCAAATGTTAGAGCTGCCTCCCAGGGTGCCTTCCAGCAGGGAGCTGGAAGGGAAGGGAGCAGGGGCCCAGCAGGGGCTCCCGCAAGCGACACCTCTGACGCTGCTGTGCAGACGCCTGCCCTCTCCATTCTTTACATCAGCTGTGCTGCGCCTCTCTCACACCTCTGAGGTCTCCTCGCGCTTTGTCTGAGGCTGTGGGAAGGAGGCGGTGCAGCCGAAAGCTGCTTGGGTGGAAATTCCAAAAGGCCAGGGACACGCCCTCTCCCCTCCCAGCTCCCTGAGGCCTGCCAGTCGGATTCTTCCTGTCAACACCCCCCCCACCCACTCCCTGCTCAGACTCCCCACCCCCCACTCCACGCCCCAGCCCCCAGGCTGTCTGCTGAGAGCTGCAGGTGCAGAGTCACTCACAGCCGCCAGGCTCTGCTTCTGAAACATCTGAACCGTCCCTCTCCTCTGAGCTGCACCCTCAGCTTGTGCCTCGGCTCTCCATGCTCGGGCCCTGGCCCATAAGAGGCCGAAGAGATGAAAACCAACTCCTGGCAACTCCCTTGTCCTCCGACCATGCCATGGACGTGACTTGATTTAAAAGTTTCCACTGGTATTTTTCCAGGGGATAAATTCAATACTGTCACTAAAACATATCAAGTAAAGTAAACAGCAATGAATCATTCCCAGAAATTAGTCTCCTGTTAAACCAATTATTCAAATATGCAAGAGTAAGAGGAGTTAAGTGCAGCTTGGGAGGATTTGTAACGTAAGATGCGCATTCACACAAATAACAGGCACAGTGCAACCTGGGAAGGACAATCGTGCCACATTCCCGTACCCTACCCCAGACTTAAAATGCCACCTGAGGCTCTCCTCACAAGATTTTAGTCAAACAAAATGAAATTTCCTTTAGGAGGTCTGACACAGTTATTGAGCTGTTTTAGTACAATGGTTCATTTTTTTCTTAAATGATTGAAGAACACATTCCTCCTGCTGTGTGAACACATATGTTAGCACAGTGTTCATAAATTTTCTTTAGCACAGGTAACTTTCTGGCAATTTTAGTCCTTCAGGGCTGCACTCAGAATATTGTTTTAAAATAGTCTAAGTAACAAAAAGAATCTTATTTAAAACAAGGCCAACAGTCACCTTTATTTCTACACCTGAAAGACTGATTCTGGATATTCTGTATGCATTTGTAAAATACACACTGAATCTCTGGTGACACAAAGAAAACGGGAAGAAACACAACTCTGGAGAGCAGCTTTCCCTGGGGACAGCTCACAAAGCCACAGCCAACGTGAGTGTGGGCCAGGCGTGGAGGAAGGCCCCAGGCGTGGAGGAAGGCCATGATGGCTCAGAGCGGGAACCTGCAGCCAGCCCAGGGGGCTGTGTGGTTCCCCCAGTAGCTACAGTGATCCTGGACAAGTTACTCAGCACCCAGGTGTGAGCACGCATACAATGGGAGCCTCACCCACCCCAGGAAATACTCTGAGGACAGGCAGTGATGCAAGGAGTGCCAGGCACAGTCAGCCCTCCATAGGACCGGACTCTGTGGTTTTGATTGTTGTTGTTATTATTATTCATTTTGAAAGTAATCTACTTTCATAGGATCTTTAATAAGATTTAAATATTTATTCTTTACAAAGTCCAGGGAAGTAGCCAAGTTAACAAATAACATCTTCCCCCAAAAAGGATACATGCGCCTCCCAACACAGACAGATTAATTACTATTAGCATAAAGCACTGACTGTAACAAATGACACCAGGATTTGGGTCCTGCCAAGACAGGCTAAGGGCAGCAGAGCCTGGGAGGCAGTAAGAGGGCAAAAGGGGCAGGCAACCACAGTGTCTCTCTACTTTAAGTTTTTTCAAATTTTATTATTATTTATTTGAAAGGCAGAAAGACTGAAATAGAAAGATCTTCCATATGCTGGTTTACTTTCCAAATGCCTGCAACAGCCAGGGCTGGGCCAGGATGAAGCCAGGAGCCAGGAGCTCCATCCAGGTCTCCCACGTGGGTGCAGGGAGCCAAGCACATGAGGCTTCCCTGACCTTCACCAGGTGCCCAACAGCAGGAAGCCAGACCTGAAATGAAGCCAGGACTCAAATCCAGGCAGTCCTGCATGGGTGCAGGTGTCCCAAGCAGTGTCTACTACACCAAAAGGCTGCCCCCACCTTCTATTTAAATGGATGACTGCTACCAACGTTAAAGGAGGGGATGCTTTTTGTTTGTTCTATTTGAGCTTTTATTTATTTTACTTGAAATGCAGAGGCAGAGAGAGACAGAGAAGAATCTTCCATCCACTGGTTGGTTCACTTCTCACATGCCTGTCAGAGCCAGGGCTGGGCAGGCAAAGCCAGGAGCCCAGAACTCCACCCAGGTCTCCCAAGTGAACGGCAGGCACCCCCGTACCTAAGCCATTACTTGCTGCCTTCCAGGGTGTGCACTAGCAGCAAGCTGGAACTGCAAGCAGAGTCGGGATTTGAACCCAGGCATTGTCATATGGGATGCAGGCATCTCAAGGAGTGTCTTACCCACTGCACCCTCCCCCAAGCATCTCCTCTTGCTCTTCATTCCGTCGTGACCTCTCCTAACCTCTGGTCAGAGTTTGCTGCCAGGAAAAGTCTAGAAACAATCCACACGGATCACACAGATACGCAGAACGATGAGGGCTTCCATGTTTCCCCTTGGACACGTGCTTCAATCCTAGCATAACCCTGACCCGACAGAACTGAAAAGTCAAGGATGGAATTCCTAGCATGACGTAAAGCACTGGGAAGACAGAGCCTCCCGGAGAACTCAGGCGCAGGAGGCCCGGAGCAGCACTTGCACATGGCAGGAGATCTGCTCTGAAGACCACACCCGGCCGACGAAGGACCGTGTGGGTTTTTGTGCCTGAATGTCAGGATGCAGGTTCGCAAGAGAGCCAGCAGGACCTGTGTGCAGCAGCAGACAGTGCTGAGCTGGCAGCGCAAGCAAGAGAAGGAGCTGGCATGGACCCTCGCCTATGCACCCGGTTACTGCCGCCGACGAGCCTGAGAGGGCTGGGCCTGGTCACAGGCTCCTGGGGAGAGCACCACCCCCAAGCAGTGCAATCACAGGCACCCAACCAGCCTTCTGCACAAGGCAGAGGATGTGGTGGATAAAAGAAAACATCTATAAAACACCCCACTTGAGGGCCAGCACTGTGGCATAGTGGGCTAAGCTTCTGCCTGCAGCGCCAGCATCCCATATGGGCGCCAGTTTGTGTCCCGGCTGCTCCTCTTCCGATCCAGCTCTCTGCTTATGGCCTGGGAAAGCAGCAGAAGACGGCCCACGTGCTTGGGGCCCTGCACCCGTGTGGAAGACCTTAAAGAAGTTTCTGGCTCCTGGCTGCAGGTCAGCTCAGCTCCGCCATTGTGGCCATTTGGGAGTGAACAGGCAGATGGAGATCCTTTCTGTTTGTCTCCCCCTCTGTCTGTGACTCTGTCTCTCAAATAAATAAATAAATAATTCTCCAAAAAAAGGTCAAAAAAAAAAAAACCTCACTTGCGGGCACAGAGGAGGCCCTCATAGTAGGTGGTCACTGTGTTATTACTGGTAACTTCATTCTCACAACAAACATATGAAGCAAGTTCACACATGAAAAACCGAAGCCAATGTGTGAAGTGTTGCCTACTGAGTGTGCAAAAACATCCTGGAATTTAAATCAATTCTTTCCTCCAAAATAAAAAAATTCCCCTTCGGGGCCAGTGCCATGGGTTCAGCTGCTGCCTGCAGCCCTGGCATCCCACGTGGGTACCAGCTTGTGTCCCAGCTGCTCCACTTCTAATCCAGCTCCCTGTTAATAGCCTGGGAAAGGAGCAAGTGCCTGGGCCCCTGCACCTACATGGAAGACCTGGATGAAGCTCCTGCCTCCAGCCTGGCCCAGTCCTGGCCATTGCAACCACCTGGGGAGCGAGCCAGTAGATGGAAGATCAATATCTCTCTGACTCTGACCTTCTAATAACTAAATAAATCTTTAAAAAAGAAAAAAATTTCCCATGCTGAATGAAGGTAAGAGTAGGAAGATGCCTGAACAGGCAGCTGGGGGGGAGACTCACACAGGCAAGCACAAAGCCCACCTGCCTGGGGCTGTCCCCCACAGCTCCTGCTGTCCCCCACAGCCCACAGAGCACAGCAGATCCGGCTGTTACCTGCATCTTCCTGAGAGGTCAGAAATGAAGGAGCCGTGGTGGTGGCACAGCGGGTAAAGCTGCTGCCTGTAACGCCAGGATGCAGGTTCGCATCCCAGCTGCTCTACTTTCAATCCAACTCCCTGCTAATGGCCTGGGAAATCAGCAGAGGATCGCCCAAGGACTTGAAAACTTCCAGTCTGAGGCAGGGTACGTCACGGGCTACGTCACAGTTAACTGTCCACTGTGTAACAAGGCTTCAGACATCTGGGTGGGACCGGGAGAGATCACTGCCATGAGCAGGTGCTAGGTCCCAACTTACACTGTCAGGGTAGTGCAAGAACCTGTATTAATATAAACTCTTGTGAGAGGTGTGGGGGGGCCCTGAAGATGGAAGTGGAAAGTGAACCCCTGTTTTCACACAGGTCCATAGGCCAGGGATCGTTTTTCCCATAGAAGTCCCATCCCATGGAAGATGAGGTCATATGGGCACTGACTGATTCAAGACCTGGCTGCTCCACTTCTGATCCAGCTCCTTGCTAATGCCCCTTGAACAGCAGCAGCAGATGACCCAAATGTGTGGGCCCCTGCACCCATGTGGAGACCTAGAAGAAGCTCCTGGCTTTAGCTTCAGCCTGGCCCAGCTCTGGTCATTGCAGTTATTTGGGGAATAACCAGCAGATGGAAGATCTGTCTCTCTATAATTCTGCCTTTCAAATAAATAAATAAATCCTTATATTAAAAAAAAAAAAAAGAACACAAAACACAATCACTGGGAAAAGACCAGAGAGACCAGCGAGAGGAAGGGGAGCAGGAGGCAGGACCAAGGTAATGGAGAGGGGCACGAGGAGAGGGGGAGAGTACAGACGAGGAGAGCTGCAGCCAGGAACTGAAAATCTCAGAGCAGCCTCCTGTCTTCAGCGACAGCACAGAGAAAGGGCAAACGCTCTGAGAGCCAGCCTGAAGCCACTTCCAGAAGTCAGAGTTGGGACAAGAAGTGTGCGAAGGCTGGCCCTTCCAGGGAGTGCAGAGCCACCACACAGCTGCCAGCCTCCATCCCCAGCTCTCAGGCCGCAGGGAGGCCACCCCACGGCAGGCTCTGCTCACATCTGCTCACGGGTGCTCTGCAGTCCACGAGGCGGACCCGCCACTCCACTGGTCTCACTCTTCCTCACTCAGCCTCCAAGGCCTGGGTCCCCAGGTGCCCCTTGAAGCCCATGCACAGTCTTCCGGACCAAGCGCTTGTAGTGCCTGCTTCAGCTACCAACTCTCAGTACTTCTCACACACGCTAACCCCTCCATACTCAACAGATACACTTTTCTGTCTGTCTCCTCCATGAACTGTGAATTCCTAGAGAGAGCACTGGGCCAGATCCATTTCTGCATTCCCAATGTCGAGAAAACCAGCTGGTAAACAGCACTTGGCAAACACCTCTTGCTGAACTGAACTAAAAGCTCTCACACCATGCCAACACAGCATATCCATTGCTATTTGAAGTAAAAAATCTTCCACACTTTTCTCTAACTACAGCATAGCAGACTCGAATTTGAACTAAAACCCACAACTTGAGATGAAATGTCACTCTTGTCCCAGTAAAACAGGAGGGGTACAAATTTAATTCTCCCAGAGTAAGACAAGCAACAGGTTTTTAGAGGAAGGTGGCTGGGGGAGCCATCAGACAATGACTTCAAGTGCTGATGACACATGTCTTACAGGAACCTTTCATCCATTTCATTTTAGTTGCTGCCAGGGGGAAAAACATCTGAATATGCTAAAGATCAAAATGACTTTAGATGTGTGACAGACACGCTACTTTTTTTTTTTTTTTTTTTTTTGACAGGCAGAGTGGACAGTGAGAGAGAGAGACAGAGAGAAAGGTCTTCCTTTGCCGTTGGTTCACCCTCCAATGGCCGCCGCGGCCGGCGCACTGTTGCCGGTGCACCGCGCTGATCTGATGGCAGGAGCCAGGTGCTTATCCTGGTCTCCCATGGGGTGCAGGGCCCAAGCACTCCCTGGCCACAGCAGAGAGCTGGCCTGGAAGAGGGGCAACCGGGACAGAATCCGGCACCCCGACCGGGACTAGAACCCGGTGTGCCGGCGCCGCAAGGCGGAGGATTAGCCTAGTGAGCTGCGGTGCCGGCTACTTTTCTTTTCTTTTCTTCTTCTTCTTCTTCTTTTTTTTTTTTTTTTTTTTTTTTTTTTTTTTTTTTTTTTTTTTTTAAGAAAAGGAGAACACTCTTCTCCAACATGAAATAAGAGCACTTTTCTCACTTCACTGGGAGTATGCACGGACTGCGGGAAGTGAGAGGAGTCTTGGGACTCGAGCGCTCAGCCAGCGCAGACGCACCCTGCAAACGGGGTGGACACGCACCGTGCCTCTCTGCAGGGGAAGAACAGCAAGATGCCGCAAGAATCCTTTCTGTGTTCTCTCTGTGTCTGTTCCCACACACACACACCCCACTGCTATCCCAACTAATAATTATTTCAGTTAGTAACTTCCTCCAGATCCTATGCTGCTCTACTTTTGGAAATCTTCCCATTAGAACTATGGTTGAGGGGCCGGCGCCATGGCTCATTTGGTTAATCGTCCGCCTGCAGTGCCGGCATCCCATATGGGCACAGAGTTCTAGTCCCGGTTGCCCCTCTTCCAGTCCAGCTCTCTGCTGTGGCCTGGAAGGCAGTGGAGGATGGCCCAAGTATTTGGGCTCCTGCACCCGCATGAGAGACCAGGAGGAGGCATCTGGCTCCCGGCTTCGGACTGTGGCCATCTGGGGAGTGAACCAACAGAAGGAAGACCTTTCTCTCTGTCTCTCTCACTGTCTATAACTCTATCTGTCAAATAAAAAAAAATAAAATTAAAAAAAATTAAAAAAAAAAAGAACTGGTTGAAGAAACCAGGGCAGAGGCCCAGGGACGAGTGGAGATGCAGCAGAGACTATGAGTGGAAGAGTGACTCCAGCACTAGCAGACTGGGAGCGTCCTCCTCGTAGAACAGGAATTCCACACGTGTGCTGCTTTCCATTTTAGCAGACCTTAAGATAACTAACTCTTCAATCACTTTGCTTCTGTTCTGAGTGTTTCCCCCTCAGTGGAATCATAATTGGCTCAGCAATAAAATGAACTCAGGAACAACTGATACCTTTACACTATCCTGTTTCCACCGGGGATAGGGTCCACTTCTCCACTGGTGGAGCGGCGTCCCCTCCCCCGCGCCAGGTGAGCCTCTGCTCCCTGGAGACTGACCGTCAGGTGCAGCAGCAGCAGCAGACCGCTGGTCCTAAGGTCTCACGAGGCGCTGCATCATCACGGACAGCAGATTACTCCCCAGTGTCTTCCTTACTGTACCTGCACGGTGTACGTAGGTGTGTCCTTGGAATGTAGTCCTCACCGCCAAAGCCTAGGAAGGCACAGCCCCCACGCCTCAGACCCCAAGACACGTTCAGCAAGAACTGAGACAGGCTCCTTGTCAAGTGCGACTGCCGGAGGCAGCAGGCTACCACCACCTGGACTCACACGTTGGTCAGAGTTCCGAGGCCCTGTTTTAGGAAGGGAAGCCAGGAGGGAGTGTGCACACTGCAGTCAGAACTCTCCTGCTAACATCCAAGCAAGCACTGGAAGACTGATTCACGGGCAGATTGGGGACAAAGACCCATCACCTGTGATGGCACTGTATTATGCGCCAGGTAGACACAGCAGGTATGAAACCAGACAAGTGTGTCTGCCTCCCAAGAGCTCACGGCTTACGGAGGAATGGAGTCGGGGTGGGAATGCCACAAGGCAAAGTGAGCTGAGGGCCTGGCGCCTAGTGAGTAAGTAGTGGTGATACACAATAGACAAAGGAACACTGCTGCACTGTACTTAAGTTATCAGTATAATTCTTCCTCTTAAATAATGCTATGCCTTTCCTGCAAAAGAACAGGCTGATTACAACAAGACACAGAAAAAAGGTTTTGGGACTCAAATGATAGAACATCTTCTATGTCATTAAAACAAAAATTTACAGCTGAAACAAACTAAACCATGATAAGGTCCTCTGGATAGGAATTTTAATTTCATTTACTGTAACAGGAACTGTAAGTTCGGGAAACTAATGGTGACAGCTTGATTTATGAATTTTGACATATTTCTTGAACCGGGATTACATTACAAAGAAGTGGAATTCTAAGCAAGCCAGATCTTGCCTGTACATTCAATCTTCAAATCAATAAGCCAGGATTCCGAGTGACTTGTTTCTGTCAGAGAAAACACACAGTCCAACTGAGACAAGATACATACCTTCAATTCAGAACTCACTTAACAGACTCTCAGAATGGGAGCAGAACAGATTTTAGAATCCACAGAAAAAGCACTCTGGCTCTTCACTTCGTGGTAACCACAGAGATACTGAACTCAGCAAGCATTTGTGGTCAAACCAAGAAGAAAAAAATTACTCTCTTCCTAGAGAAAAGCTCTGATACTTGTTTTCACTTCACTTCCTCCCAACATTGCTACTAAAGTAACGTACACAGAACACTAAACATGGGGGTTACTTTAACTTTGCAAATACCTGTGAAATGTTGGCGCCGGTGCTGTGGCGCAGCAGGTTGACGCCCTGGCCTGAAGCGCCATCATCCCATATGGGCACCGGTTCTAGTCCCAGCTGCTCCACTTCCAATCTGGCTCTCTGCTATGGCCTAGGAAGGCAGTGGAGGATGGCCCAAAGCCTTGGGCCTCTGCCCCCACGTGGGAGACATGGAAGAAGCTCCTGGCTCCTGATTGGCGCAGCTCCGGCCGTTGCAGCCATTTGGGGAGTGAACCAGCGGATGGAAGACCGTGCTCTCTCTCTCGCTTGCTCTCTCTCTCTCCTCTCCCTGTGTAACTCTGACTTTCAAGTAAAATAAATAAAATCTTAAAAAAAAAAAAATGAGAAATGCTGTCCACAAATTTCTGCTTCAGTACACACACTGGGGGGGGGGGGGGACACTGAAATAAGTCAGATTCATTCGTTTACAGAGCCCGCACACCACTAACCAGGAAAAGACTCAACTGCAAAGCAGTTTCTTTCTTTCTTTCTTTCTTTCTTTTTTTTTTTTTTTTTTTTTGACAGGCAGAGTGGGGAGAGAGAGAGAGACAGAGACAGAGAGACAGAGAGAAAGGAGAGAAAGGTCTTCCTTTTCCCATTTGTTCACCCTCCAATGGCCGCCACGGCTGGCGCGCTGTGGCCAGCGCACCACACTGACCCGAAGGCAGGAGCCAGGTACTTCTCCTGGTCTCCCATGGGGTGCAGGGCCCAAGCACTTGGGCCATCCTCCACTGTACTCCCTGGCCACAGCAGAGAGCTGGCCTGGAAGAGGGGCAACCACGACAGAATCCGGCGCCCCGACCGGGACTAGAACCCGGTGTGCCGGCGCCGCAAGGCGGAGGATTAGCCTATTGAGCCGCGGTGCCGGCCAACAAAGCAGTTTCTTAAAGTCAAAAATCCACACGTCAAACCATCTTAAACCAGGGGTTTGCTTCATATCCTCAGAATGTAAACTTTGCTCTTATATAGCAAATGTCCAGCTAATATTTTTATTTTATTTTTCTTTTTTCTTAATTTTTTTTTTTAATTTGACAGGTAGAGTTATAGACAGTGAGAGAGAGACAGAGAAAGGTCTTCCTTCCGTTGGTTCACTCCCCAGATGGCCACCATGGCCAGCACTGCGCCAATCCCAAGCCAGGAGCCAGGTGCCTCCTCCTCGTCTCTCATGCAGGTACAGGGTCCCAAGCACCCAGGCCATCCTCCACTGCCCTCCCGGGCCACAGCAGAGAGCTGGACTGGAAGAGGAGCAACCAGGACTAGAACCGGCGCCCATATGAGACACTGGCACCACAGGCAGAGGATTAACCAAGTGAGCCATGGCGCCAGCTCCCAGCTAATATTTTTTAAGTAAATTCTCATTCAAGAAAATATACCAAATGTCTGTGATGTGCCAGGTACCATTTAGATGCTGGGTGCAACACAATGAGCAAAACAGACTTAAAAATGTTTCATTATGGATATAAACAGAACCTGCTTTCCTAATTGATAATTCTGATTTAGAGTTTTTATGTTTACACACTGAGCTCTATCATAGAGTACTACCACTTTTTTTTTTAAAGATTTTATTTATTTATTTGAGAGGTAGAGTTACAGACAGTGAGAGGGAGAGACAGAGAGAAAAGTCTTTGTTCTGCTGGTTCACTCCTCAAACGGCTGCAACGGCCGGAGCTGTGCCAATCCAAAGCCAGGAGCCAGGTACTTCCTCCCGGTCTCCCATGCAGGTTCAGGGGCCCAAGCACTTGGGCCAACTTCTACTGCTCTCCCAGGCCACAGCCGGAGAGAAGCAGCCAGGACTAGAACTGGCGCCCATATGGGATGCCGGTGCCACAAGTGGAGACTTAACCTGCTGCGCCATGGTGCTGGCCCCAAGTATCACCATTTTTAAACCTGCATGCGGAACAAAAGCTTTATATGAGCACATACGTGCACAGCTGGGCTCGTCACCCTTACTTGTGGATGCTGGGAATCGTCTCTATCAGGGTGACAAAGAGGAAGCCGAAAAACCCAACGGCACTGGGAGGAAGCCCTTGGCAGGCCGAAATCCATGACCACATGGTAAATGGTGAATGGCAATCAATATGATGTCTGTGGTGGGAAAGGCAGATAAACAAGATCACCTGTCTGTCCATTTTGAAAACTGCAGTTAGCTTTAGGAAATTAAGAACTTGTTTGGCTTTGCTTCTAATAAAGCATCCACTTTAAGCAGTGATGACAATACTGGAGTAAAGAATGGGGAAGTAGGCCATACACATTCCTTATTCTAACAAAGCAGCAGCTCACGAACGCCTTCTTCATGTTTACAGCATTAATATCCATGTGCTTCTCACAATAGAAACCAAAACAGAATCTCCAGTGAGGCCCACAAGGGTTTAAAAATAAATTAATCACTACAGCTGTAGCAAGGAAATACTAGGCAAGCTGACACAAAAAACAAGGTAAGAAGAGAAGGCAGCGAGGATTTACCAACACCTCCCGGCACGACTCGGTGCAGGGAAGCCTGGCAGCTCCTTACAATGCAGGAAAGGCCACTGTCCATCACCTGCTCCGACTTCTGAGTCCACGACTCCTGGGCGGACGCGAGACGATATATTTCCCGAGCAGATGTTCAGTCTGCAGTGAAGCACCTTGACCCTCTCAAATCTTAAAGAATGATGCCCACCATTCTGGTTAACTCCACCCTCCCAGCAGTCAGACTGCTCTCTAAGACAGGGACTTTTCTAAGTGGCCTTGCTGAAGTGGCTGTGTCCTCCGGAGCATGCAGCCAGCCGCCAGTCATAAACACTAGCTGAGTTAAACCTCCGTCTCGCTGAGCCCTGGAGTCTTCATTTCAAAAATGATGATGGTACCATCTATACAGCTTTCCGCTGAAGTGTGTAAGGCTCCAATGAACTAACCTATATTGAAAAAACACTGCAGGGCCAGTGCTGTGGCGTAGCAGGTAAAGCCAGCCTACAACACCAGCATTCCACATGGCTGCCGGTTCCAGTCCCAGCTGCTCCACTTCTGATCCAGCTCCCTGTTACTGTGCCTAGGAAATCATCAGAGGAGGGTCCAAGTCCTTGTGCCCCTGTCCCCATGTGGGAGACCCAGAGCAAAGTTCCGGTTTCAGCCTGGCCCAGCTCCAGCCACTGGGGCTATCTGAGGAGTACACCAGCACACGAAAGACCTCTCTAACTCTGCCTTTCAAATAAATCAATCTAGAAAATTCTGTGATGGGAAGCCCCATACAAGCACAGAGTACCACCCAGCAGGTGGGCACTACAAATTTTACAATGAATATAGTCTCACAGATGGGCACAGAGACCCACCTTGGCTTTAACAGCTTCTGACTGGGGCCAGAGCTGTGGCACAGTGAGTTGAGTCTGCAACGCAGGCCTTCCATTTCAGAGTGCGTGGGAAAGCCCCGGTCACCCAGGTAGGAGACTAGGATGGAGGGCTGTCTCCTGGCTTCAGGCTGCTGTAGCCATTGGGAGAGCGAACCAGCAGATGGGAGATACCTATCTCCCCCTCCTCATCTACTGGTCTGTCTTTCAAATAAAAACTAAGGAAGTAAATCTGAAAGAAAGGAAAAAGCTTCGGATCGCACTTAAGAGGAATCACGCAGTCCACACAGATTCTAGGAACTTTTGTGTGGTGAATAGTTTTGGGCTTCTGGTTCAAGGAAAGGATGGATCCCTAGAAGCTTCACAAGACGGATTACTTCACCAGTCTCAGCCACAGGATCCCCAAGCTGCCGGTCCCACCCTTGACAAACAGATGAACTGGAAATGGAGAGAAGAGGACCAGCAGAGCTGCACCCTGGAGCCAAGGGAGCCTCTGGGGCCCAGCTAGCCATGAGGCCCAGGTTCACCAGGGCCTGTGGAAGCTCTGTGCTAAGGCTTTTCTTCCGCTCCTGAAAAGCTCTCACATGAGAGGGACCTTGGCTAAGGGAAGGCACAGGCCAACAAATTCACATTCTACTCTGGGCTGTGCAACTCACTTAACTGGACGGCCTCTCGTTAAAATGCGCTTAGCAGAACCGGCTTCGCAAGGCTGACACGAAGGTCAGAACTGATAAAACCTGTAACTCACTAAGGACAGTGCTAGGACACCGGAGACACCAAACAAATCAAACATCAGTCCCACTGTTCTGGGTGAAGGACGAACCCAAATCAGGCTACATGTTACAAACATAAAATTCCCATAACTCAGATACTCAGTCTTGGAGCAGAGACAAAGCCAAACTTCCCATTAGACCCTAATGTGAGTGTAAGTGGGATAACCCACTAGACGATACAGTGAGAATGAATGGTTTCAGAATAAAGACCTGCTCCCTAATCATCCACTTCCCCAAACTCCTAACTCGAGTCATCTGAGTGCTAGTGAACTCCAGCCCTGGAGACTACAATGACCAAGGCAAATATTTGTAGCATCCTGCTGAAACTGGGAGTTGGTACAAGAATAAAGAAGCTTCCAGCATACCTGCAGTAAGATTTCAGTGCTGTCACAGAGTCTTTGGAAAGAGGAGAGGAAAAAAAGGCAGGGGTCACTCTATTAGGTTCAGGCCTTTTGTTGGCACAGGTTAAAAAAAGGGGGGCGGGAGAAACAGAGGAATTCTCATAATCAAAGAATGAGCCCCTTCATAACCGTCTGGAGTGTTTGCTCAGAAATTAGCAGTGCCATTAGATACTGCACAAGAGGACACAGCGTGGACTTCCTGTGAGTCCCAGCGGTCTCGACACTTGGGCACACTCCGTATTTACTCACGCTGCAACCTGATCTTGGCTTCAGTGAATCATTTCATAAGCCTTTTAAGGGCTACCACATTTTGTCCCTATAAGAGGGCAATCCAAACCAGCAACAAAGGAACAGTTCAGCACAAGAAAAACCACCTCTTCTGTGCACGTCCAGACAGGTAAGCCTCACCACTACAAAGCTAAGTGTTCTGTTGTCTATCAACTTTTGTTTACAAAAATCAGTAATTTTCCAAGGGGAATTAGTAGTCTCACCTTCACTCTATTAAAGATTAGGAGTGCCAAAATGGAACAAACAAGTATCAATAAAAGCAAGTTCCCTAGCATCTGGTCTGTGCCGTGTTGTACAAGAATCATTCCAGTTACCAACTGCTACACAGCAAATTACTGCAAAATTTAGCATGTCCATTTGATTCACAATTGTTACTCAGACCAATTTCTAAGGACATATCTTTTTTTAAAGGATTTTTATTTATTTATTTGACAGGTAGAGTTATAGACAGTGAGAGAGAGAGACAGAGAGAAAGGTCTTCCTTCCGTTGGTTCACAACCTAAATGGCCACAATGGCCGGTGGGCTGCGCCGATCCGAAACCAGGAGCCAGGTGCTTCCTCCTGGTCTCCCATGCAGGTGCAGGGCCCAAACACTTGGGCCATCCTCCACTGCCCTCCCGGGCCACAGCAGAGAGCTGGACTGGAAGAGGAGCAACCAGGACAGAATCCAGCGCCCATACGGGATGCCGGCGCTGCAGGCGGAGGATTAACCAAGTGAGCCACGGTGCCAGGACATATCTTTATAAGGATAATGACTCTCCTCTCCCATCTCTTCTGAGCTAAGCCAATTCAATAAATATTTCACATTAAAAGAAAAAAAATGTGTTTTGTTTTGTTTTTTTGCGAAGCAGAGAGACAGACTGAGCTCCCATCTGCTGGCTCATTCACCACATGCCTGCAACAGCCAAGCACTGGCCAGGTCCAAGTCAGGGTGGGAACTGAACCCAGGCCTCCCACACGGAGGCACAGACCCAGCCTTTCAGGTATCACCTACTGCCTCCCAGTGTCGGAGAGCCAGGACAAATCCAGGCACTGCGATACGGGGGTGTGGGTGAACCGGCCAGCAGGTCTACCACCAAGCCAAAGGTCATTCCTGTATTTCATTTCAGATGCTGTATTATTTTAGTCCTAGAATTTCCTTTGGCTTTTTATTTTTTAAAGATTTATTTATTTATTTGAATTACACACAGAGAGGAGAGAGAGAGAAAGAGGGGGGGGGGGGGGTCTTCCATCCACTGGTTCACTCCCCAGCTGGCTGCAACGGCCGGAGCTGCGCAGACCCGAAGCCAAGAGCCAGGAGCTTCCTCCGGGTCTCCCACGCGGGTGCAGGGCCCTAAGCGCTTGGGCCATCTTGAACTGTTTTCCAGGCCATAGCAGAGAGCTGGATCGGAAGTGGAGCAGCTGGGCCTCGAACTGGCGCCCATGTGGGATGCCAGCACTGCAGGCAGCGGCTTTACTCACTATGCCACAGCGCCGGCCCCTGGGTCATTTTTTAGGGATTATATTTCCTTTGTTGAAATATCTTTTCATTCATACTTTATATCCTTGAGTATAGTTACAATTACTACTGTGAACTCCTTGTCTGCTAACCCCAACATTTATGTCAGCTCAGTCTTCAGTGACAATGTGTTCTCCTGAGAATGGGAAACAACGCCCTATACGTCAAGTAGTCTGGACGGCATCCTGAAGACTGGTAATGCTGCGCTGTGGAAACTGGATTCTGTCCTGTTTTTCTAAAGAGTGGCGATTATTTTTGTCTTAGTGGGAAACTATCTCAGATGAACTACGAACTCTCGACTGGCAGCTCAGATCTCTGCACAACTACTTTACACGCTACATAACTCAGTGTCCCCAGCCCCACGTGAGTGTGACACAGGCATCCGGGCAGTTCACACACAGAACCTGAGGCTTGCTGCCTCATTCCCAAGTCGTCCACAAGCTATTCATTGATTCTTCAAACTAGAAAGATGCAGAATCTGTATAAGAATTTCAGCTGCCATGAACAACACAAACCGTACCATCCCTTACTCATCCCTTACTCTAAATGTCAGTTTGGAGGCTTAACATAGTAAGCTAAGCCTCCGCCTGTAGCACCGGCATCCCAGATGGGCGCCGGTTTGTGTCCCAGCTGCTTCTCATCCAGCTCTGTGCTATGGCCTGGGGAAGCAGTGGAGGATGGCCCAAGTCCTTGGGCCCCTGCTCGCATATGGGAGACCCAGAGAAAGCTCCTGGCTCCTGGCTTTGGATCGGTGCACCTCTGCTTGTGCGACCATTTGGGGAGTGAACCAGCAGAAGGAGGCCCTTTCTGTCTCTCCCTCTCTGTCTGTAAATCTACCTCTCAAATAAATAATCTTTTAGATAAAAGGCATCAGTTTGACTACAGAATCTGCCTACTTATGTCAAATTTGAGTGTCTTCACAGAGCTGTCTTGTATCCAGTTAATCAACTGTTACCTGCCACAGGATCAATCCAACAGTCACTTCCTGGGCTGTTAACAGGAGGAGATCTGTCCACTTACTGTCCCCACCCCCTGCCCAGTTTTCCGGTTTTTCTCCCAATGTTATGGGTCATGAATTTACAGAGGGCTCAGCCTGACCTCGGGAACATCAGCTGAGCAGGTGAGGAGCCTCCAGGAGGGCCTGGCACACCCGGCGGGTGCCTTGGTGCTCCTTCCTCCACTGGGATCTCACGTGAAACAGATTCCCCACACAGCCACCAGATTACAGCAAGGTGAGCTCAGGGATCTGCTCTCCTCAGATGCCGCGGACACACAAGAAGCCAGAAACAGAATCTGCCAGACTGCTGACGCGGCACAGGGTCACCCCTGCCATGGCTCGCGTTTGAAGCAGGCCCAGGGCCTACCCCATCTCAGAGGGACAGAGTAAGAGATGTTAACCCTGGCCAGGGGAGTGGCAAAGTCAAAGGGCAAATAATGTGATGTGACATACTTCCGTGGTCATCTTGGAAAATAAGATCTGCCACAGAGAGACTGAATGAGGTAAAACAATGCAACCCCAAGTAAAACTCCAGGAAGATAAGGGAAGCCCACGCAATGAGAAGTATTTTCTCACCATCTTTACAGAACACTGCCTCACACGATCAGCATGATGACCTCTAAGCTGTTCAGTACAAAGGAAGTTTCTAAAAGCAGACTACTGGGCTGGCGCTGCGGCTCACTAGGCTAATCCTCAGCCTGCGGCACCGGCACACCGGGTTCTAGTCCCGGTCGGGGCGCCGGATTCTGTCCCGGTTGCCCCTCTTCCAGGCCAGCTCTCTGCTGTGGCCCGGGAGTGCAGTGGAGGATGGCCCAAGTCCTTGGGCCCCACACCCCATGGGAGACCAGGAGAAGCACCTGGCTCCTGCCTTCGGATCAGCGCGGTGCGCCGGCCGCGGCGGCCATTGGAGGGTGAACCAATGGGAAAAGACCTTTCTCTCTGTCTCTCTCTCTCACTGTCCACTCTGCCTGTCAAAAAAAAAAAAAAAAAGCAGACTACTGGGTTTCTAAAGACTTCGTATCTAAGTATTTCATCCATTTTGAAACATGTAGAACAAAAGGGATATGATGCTGCCATCCATAAAATAGGATAAAGACGTATAATACTTTGTTGGATTTTTTTCTTGTAATGATGGTGTTTATTAAATGCTTTCCTATGTACTAGAAATTTTTCTGAGCCCTGGAAGTATCTGGTTTTTTTTTTTGTTTTTTTTTTTTTTTTGGACAGGCAGAGTGGACAGTGAGAGAGAGAGACAGAGAGAAAGGTCTTTTCCCATTGGTTCACCCTCCAATGGCCGCCGCGGCCAGCACGCGGCGGCCGGTGCACCGCGCTGATCCAATGGCAGGAGCCAGGTGCTTCCTCCTGGTCTCCCATGGGGTGCAGGGCCCAAGCACTTGGGCCATCCTCCACTGTACTCCCGGGCCACAGCAGAGAGCTGGCCTGGAAGAGGGGCAACCACGACAGAATCCGGCGCCCCGACCGGGACCAGAACCCGGTGTGCCGGCGCCGCAAGGCAGAGGATTAGCCTAGTGAGCCGCAGTGCGGGCCGGAAGTATCTGTTATTGACTGTTGTCTCCATGAACTAAGGCTGTTTAAAATGCACAAGCATAGGCAAAACATGAACAATTTACAAGAAAGGAGACTGGCTGAAACTTCCTAAGGACAAAGAAAAGACAACATAAAATTACAAGAAAATAAACTTCAAATATGACATACTATGTTTATCTGTGGGGGAAATATATGTTATACATACAATACATGTATCTCTCTCAACCTACTTTCTAAGTAACTCGAGTTTAAACTCCAAGAAAATGAGTATATATTATGTATTATCTTCTAAATGAAATCTTATGTGTGTGACACATTCTAAAAAAAATCTTACCTTGTCTTGGTTATCTTTGTTTTTGTAACACAGATTTCCAATCAGACGTATAAGGTGAGACTTAAACCCCTCAGCCACACTGGAGACATCACCTTCTTTGATACAGTCACAGGTACTAAAGATGTTTATGGTGTCTTTTCCAGCTACATGAATCAGTCGTAAAAGATCTATAACAAAAAAAGAGTAACGTTTATTTTCCATGGAAAAATAAATTTGAGTATTTTGTGTGTGTGTTTTTTTTTGTTTGTTTGTTTTGTTTTTGTTTTTGTTTTTTTGGCCAGGCAGAGTTAGACAGTGAGAGAGAGAGAAACAAAGAGAAAGGTCTTCCTTCCATTGGTTCACCCTGCAAATGGCTGCTATGGCCAGTGCACTGCACTGATCCCAAGCCAGGAGTCAGGTGCTTCCTCCTGGTCTCCCATGAGGTGCAGGGACCAAGCACTTGGGCCATCCTCCACTGCCTTCCCAGGCCACAGCAGAGAGATGGACTGGAAGAGGGGCAACCGGGACAGAATCCGGCGCCCCGACCAGGACTAGAACCCAGGGTGCCGGTGCCGCAGGCAGAGGATTAGCCTAGTGAGCCGCGGTGCCAGCCTGTGTTAATTTTCCATAACAAACGTAACTTATTTTAATAGACCAAATGGGAATAAAGGTAGAACATTGGATGTTTTCCTTACTACTTATTTTGTTTTAATTTATTTACTTGAGAGAGCAGAGAACTCCTATGTACCGGCTCACTCACCACATGCCTGCAATGCCTGGGGCTCAGCTGAGGCTCAACCAGGAGTGAGGGATCCGGTGCAGGCCTCCCCTGCGAGCCACCTCTGCTGTGGTGCGGAGCTGGGCTGGGCATCCAACCCGGCACTCCAACACGGGACGTGGACATCCCATCCGCTGCCTCAACCAGCAGGCCAAACGCCGGCCCTTGCCAACGATCAGAAAGCTCTCCTGCCTTCTTCTTCAAATGCTTTCACTCCATTTGGGGGAAGTGAGTCACGATCACCCTCATTTGGACTTTCCATTTATTCAAAAAAAAAAAGGTAGCTAACAATTTTCCAGCAACTCTGTCAAAGAACTCATCCGACAACCGCAGTCGGCTGAGTCCAAGACAGGCCCCACCTTGCTCGTCCCTCAGTGGCCGGGTAACCCGGCGGCAGGGTGTGTTCTCCTAGACTCAGAACAAGCAGCACCGCTAAGATCCACGAACACCTCCAGCCGTCTACGAAATACGCCATCTTCCGGGAGCTGACTGCAGTGTTTCCACATTATTTAATGGACGCCTCATCAAACCCACTGAAGGCAGACACCACTCCCTCAGCCTTACAGCGAGGACGCGGGTCCCGTGCTGGAGCGAGCGTGTAACCCCCCCCTGCCCAGCGCATCCTTACGCCACCTCCACAGGATTCAGTTTCCTGGGTCCACAGTCCTTCAACTGTAACTGAAGGTGTCACACTCAAGCACAACACCGACGCAGGATTCCAAAGACCAGCTCAGACATTCCCTCACAGGAAGGCGTGTTTCTTAGCACACTCCTGTCCAGACTGAGTATCTTCCCAAAGGGAAAAACAGTAAACGGTGAAGAGTAACTCACAGGCATGGCTAACCACAGAAACACAGTCTATGTGAATTATTTTGCAAACAGCTTTTTTTTAAAAAAAAAGATTTTATTTATTAATTTGACAGGTAGAATTACAGTCAGTGAGAGAGAGAGAGAGAGAGAAAGGTCTTCCTTCCATTGGTTCACTCCCCAAATGGCCGCTATGGCTGGCGCTGCACCGATCCGAAGCCAGGAGCCAGGTGCTTCCTCCCGGTCTCCCACGCGGGTGCAGGGCCCAAGCACTTGGGCCATCCTCCACTGCCCTCCTGGGCCACAGCAGAGAGCTGGCCTGGAAGAGGAACAACCGGAACTAGAACCAGTGACCACATGGGATGCTGGCACATGTGGAGGATTAACCTAGTGCACCACGGCGAGAGCCCCTTGCAAACAGCTTTTTAGCAAAGACAATAATACTTCAACCAGGAGCCAGTGCTGTGGCATAGTAGGTTAAGCCCCTACCTACAGCGCCGGCATCCCAAATGGGCACCAGTTCAGGCTGCTCCACTTCTAAACCAGCTCCCTGCTAATGGCCTGGGAAAGCAGGGGAAGATGGCCCAAGTGCTTGGGCCCCTGCACCCACGTGGGAAACCTGGAAGAAACTTCTGGCTTCCAATCAGCCCAGCTCCGGCCACTGTAACCATTTGGGGAGTGAACCAGTGGATGGAAGATCACTCTCTCTGTCTGTAATTCTCTCAAATAAATAAATGAATCTTAAAAAAAATTACTTCAACCAATGGCTTCTCGTTTAAAAGTTTTCTTGTAAGAATCAAATGCATGGGGCTGGGTTGTGGCAACCAGGTTAAACCTGGGCCTGTGACACTGGTATCCCATATGGGCACCATTCATTCAAGTCCCAGCTAATCCACTTCTGAGCCAGCTCCCTGTTAATGCACCTGGGAAAGCAGTGAAGATGGCCCAAGTGTTTGGGCTCCTACACCCACGTCTGAGACCCAGAGGAAGCTTCAGGCTCCTGGCTTCCGCCTGGCATAGCCCCAGCCGCTGCAGCTATTTGGGGAGTGAACCAAACCTGCAGGCAGAGGCTCTCTCTTGCGCACACTCTCTCGTGCTCCTCTCTCTGCCTCCCTCCCTCCCTCCCTCCTTCTCTGTAACTCTGCCTTTCAAATAAATCTTTAAAAAAAATCAAACGCGGCCGGCGCCGCGGCTCACTAGGCTAATCCTCCGCCTAGCGGCGCCAGCACACCGGGTTCTAGTCCCGGTCGGGGCGCCGGATTCTGTCCCGGTTGCCCCTCTTCCAGGCCAGCTCTCTGCTGTGGCCAGGGAGTGCAGTGGAGGATGGCCCAGGTGCTTGGGCCCTGCACCCCATGGGAGACCAGGAAAAGCACCTGGCTCCTGGCTCCTGCCATCAGATCAGCGCGGTGCGCCGGCCGCAGCGCGCCGGCCGCGGCAGCCATTGGAGGGTGAACCAACGGCAAAGGAAGACCTTTCTCTCTGTCTCTCTCTCTCACTGTCCACTCTGCCTGTCAAAAAAAAAATTAAAATTAAAAAATTTAAAAAAAAAATCAAACGCATGGTATGTGTAAAGCCCTATTCTAGGTACTCCAAGAATTGGGGAAAATTTACTGACAAATATCTCCATCATGAATGACTTCCCCGGACCACATCATCACTAAACCCTCTGCCAAGGATTAGCCTCCACCTTGCACCCTTGCACACAGGCCTGCTAAGGGTCCTGGGTTCCCGTGCACCCCTGCACACAGGCCTGCTAAGGGTCCTGGGTTCCCGTGCACCCCTGCACACAGGCCTGCTAAGGGTCCTGGGTCCGCAGAAGGAAGTGGCAAACCACAAGGCCAGCTCAGGCTTCCGTGGTCCCCAGTCCTGAGCTGCTCGCTGTGATGCCATGACCTGTCTCCAAGCATGGAGGACACACTAAAAATCAAGGACTTGTGCTTGAATCTGTATTGCAACATGAAAAGCAATCTCTCTCTCTCTCTCTCTTTTTTTTTTTTTTTTTGGACAGGTAGAGTTCTAGACAGTGAGAGAGACAGAGAGAAAGGTCTTCCTTCCATTGGTTCACCCGGCAAATGGCCACCACGGCCGGTGCTGCGCCAATCCAAAGCCAGCAGCCAGGTGCTTCTCCTGGTCTCCCACGTGGGTGCAGGAGCCCAAGCACCTGGGCCATCCTCCACTGCCTTCCTGGGCCACAGCAGAGAGCTGGACTGGAAGAGGAGCAACTGGGACCAGAACCTGGCGCCCATATGGGATGCCAGCGCCACAGGTGGAGGATTAACCAAGTGAGCCACGGCACCGGCCCCAAGTCAAAGATCTCTTAACAAAGATACTATGTGTCACCTTTCACTCACCAATCACTCTTTCCAGCAAGCCAGGGAAGACCTGCAGATAGCCAAGCAGCTCGGTATTAGCCGTCATCTCACACAGGACATCCAGCAGCCTAACTGTAGCCAGCACCTCCTAAAAAGAAGAAGCAATGTAACTCGGAAGTCCAGCTGAAGCTAACGTGGAGTCCATCTGAAGACCCTCCCCTCCCCATCTTCAGAGTACCGAGTCTGCTTGTGGCTTCCCCCAAATGTGACCAGGAGCTCCTGTTTCGTGATCACGCTGAGGCCCTGGCTTTAAAGCCTCTTCCCCTGCTTCCAGGGAGACCCCTGCTGGAGTCCCTGGCTCCTCCGGACCTGACCCCAGACAGTCCTCCTGCCTGCACGTGCTCACCTCCCTCTGAGGGGAGGGAAACTGGAGACAGGAATCTGGTCAGCTATCTGTCTAACAAGCTGGAGCCCTGTGGGGTGACTGGATTTTCTCAAGATTCTTAATGTGGTACTAATTTCTAACTTTTCATCTACATTCCACTCTTCCCCCCAAACATTAAAAGGAGAGTTAAGATCAATACAAAAATGCATTTCAAGTTTTATATACACTAATAAAGCCATGCAGTTGGTAGTTTCTTGGTTGTGCAGTCTGACAATTATTTAGCAGCTATGTGGCTAACATTTTAAAATTATCTTTTCCAATCCATCAAAATACTTCATAAAGATTAATATTCACCCAGGAATAATGCAAGTTCTTAAAGCCACAGCTACTTCAACCACAGCACTTCACAGGATTTCTGTGGATCAGAAATCAATGTAGTACACAGGATATCTGTACTTTGAAGGAGAGCTTGTGTGCCGGGAATGCTTTAGGAGGAACCTGCATAAATGCTATCAGGGAGCTAGTGACGGTGAACATTTCTCCCACTGCTGGGAGGTATTTGTGCTTGAATAAGAACTTTTCTGACCTTTATTCAAGAAGACACAGAACGACACAGTCTTATGTTCCTGACGGCAGGTGTCTGCTGTTTGTCAAAATGATTATTTGTGTACACAGTTAACGCTTCTGTTTCATTCTTCATAATTTTGTTGCTCTTTTTTTAAAAGATTTATTTTCTTTATTTGAAAGGCAGAGTTATGGAGGGTGGGGAAGAGACAGAGATCTCTCTTTGTCTCTCCTCTCTGTCTCTGTAACTCTGCTTTTCAAATAAATAAAAATAGATGTTTTTAAAAAATAAGAGTAATGAGAAAGTGTCTTTCCAGACATTCAAAAGCATTAGTGAACTGTGGTAATTAAATCAGGAACTGGGGTAGAAAAAATGGCCAAATCTAAGGAACAACATTCAGAAGGATTCTGAAGTAGTCAGAAAAAAACCAGTCCTGGTTAACCCCATCCTCAGTGTCTCTGAGCTATTTTCCAACTTCATACATGACAGAAAACCAATAATAACTCAGTGATTCTGTTCCACAGAAATTCTGGCTAAAATGCAAGTGATCAGTGCCTTATGGGTAGGCCAGCTTTTGCATTTGTTAGGAGTACATTCATTTCCGCATTTCTTTACTGCAGATAAACATATGGCTCTTTGATTCCTTCTCCAAGTTGTTAACATCGTAACTGATTCCCTCTGTAAAACCTGAAAATCCAAAATTGGATCCACACACACACACACACACTTCTATAAATGTACATACATATAGATGAACTTAGCAAATTATATATTCACTAAATTACATATTCACTTACAAATTATATATTCAATAACAATCATTAATAGTTACCATTTAGGGAGCATTAGTTATGTAACAGTCATGATACTAAATGCTTACATCAAAATACAATCTATATTATAGGCAAAGAAAATGGGCACAGAGAAAAAATAACTTTCCAGGACCACAGACTACTAAACAAAACAAAACAAAAAAAAATCAAGATATAAACTCAGTTTTTCAACAAAGGTTTTACATCTTACTAAATATGCTTTTAAAAAAATTCTAGAGGTACTAAAAACAAAGTTGATTAAGTCTGGGGCCATGTTGTGGTGAAGCTGGTAAAGCTGCCACCTGCAATGCCAGCATTCCATATGGGCCCTGGTTCAAGTCCTGGCTGCTCCAGTTTCAACCCAGCTTCCTGATAACAGCCTGGAAAAAGCAGTGGAAGAGGGCCCAAGTGTTTGGGCCCCCGCCATCCACATGGGAGACGTGGATGAAGCTCCTGGCTCCTGGCTTCAGCCTGGCCCAGCACTGGCCATTGCAGCCATCTGCGGAGTAAACTAGTGGATAGAAGATCTAATTGGCAAAATTGTTTTAAAAAGATTACATCTAAACAGATTCTTAAAAACAAACACCTTCTAAAAGGTTAAGAATACCAAAAATAAATTCAAATAAAAAATTACCCATAGGAGGTGTGGGGCAGGACACTATACATATAATGAAAAGATGGCTCTTCTGAAAATGTTTTCCTAAGAAATGATTTTAAAAGCTAACCTAAAATGCAAAGCCAATGACTATATTGGCCCCTGAAAACCTTTTAAAAGGGGCATGAGAGCCAGTGGCGTGGTGAGAACCAGGGCTCACACGCCTGCATCCTGTCTTGGAATACAGGGTCCCAGCCACTCCACTTCTGACCTAGCTTCCTGCTAAGATACCTGGGAAGGCAGCAGAAGTAGGCCCAAGTGCTGGGGCCACACTGGGCTTTGGCCTGGCCTAAATCTGGCTACTGCAGTCATTTGAGGAATGAACCAGGGAGTGATGGAAGGTATCTGCATCTCTCTCTCTCTCTTTCCTTTTTCTGTCTCTCTGCCTTTCAAATAAATAAATAAATCTTTTTTAAAATCTTCAAAGAGAAATGGTAATTAAATCAGATTTATAAAAGGCTATAGCCAATACAGCCTTGTGCTGTACTGGGTGCTATTTAGAAATACCTCTAAAATTTTTAAATACATACTTTCTGATCCAGCATTTCAATTTCTGAGAATTTATAATCCCAGTTTACCTGTCCAAAATTGCAAAGGCGTTTGCATAAGGATGTTTATGGTAGTATTATTTGTAAAGGTCAAAAAAGAAAGAAAGAAAGAAAGAAAGAAAGAAAGAAAGAAAGAAAGAAAGAAAGAAAGAAAGAAAAGAAAAACCCTCAAAGCAAATCAACTGTCAACAGGGAACAAATGAAAAAAGTATGATATATCTACATATTGAAATGCCACTCTACTACTAAAATGTGCAATACATTTGTTCGAGTGCTGTGGTGTGGAACATTAAGCCTCTGCCTATGGCATTAGCTTCCCACATGGGCGCTCCCAGCTGCTCCACTTCCAATCCAGCTTCTTGCTAATAGCCTGAGGAAGCAGTGGAAAATCCGACTTTGGGGCAGCACCACAGCTCAATTGGCTAATCCTCCACCTCCGGTGCCGGCACCACAGATTCTAGTCCCGATGGGGGCACCGGATTCTGTCCCGGTTGCCCCTCTTCCAGTCTAGCTCTCTGCTGTGGCCCGGGAAGGCAATGGAGGATGGCCCAAGTGCTTGGGCCCCTTCACCCGCACGGTGAAGCATAAGATATTCATTAATATGCACAAGTCACAAATACATAGGCAATAAATTTCCAAATGTAAAAATCTTTTGGTTTCCATAAGAAACCTGCCTACAGTGTTCTATTCTACTAGTATATAGTAATTCTTCCCACTTCAGATGAAAATTATTTGAAGGAAAAACGCAATTTTTCCTAAATATTACCTCCCAGGGTTTGCGTGAGCAGAGGCTGGACAGAGATGGATCAAGCCCAGGCTCTCCAATACGGGAAGTGGTATCGTGACCACAAGTCAAATGCCCACCCCGGTGGTTAACACCACAATCACCACTAATTAAACATCAAGTGCCTTCAAAAGGTTAAAGCTGTGATCTAACAAGTACCAAGTTTTCCTGCCTTTTCTCCACCTCCTAGAGAACTCACTCCAGTCACATCTCATTGCTCCTCCTGCTGGAAGCAAAGGCAAGTCCGCCCTGAGAAAGGAAGGGCAAGGCCCTGCACATAAACCTTCCTTCCTGACAGGACCAGGGAGACCTACCCTGGCCTACCAGACACAGCACAGGTCAAGAGCAAAGGGGTGGGGCCAACACTGTGGCACAGCGGGTAAAGCCGCCTCCTGCAGTGCCAGCATCCCATATGGGCACCGGTTTGAGTCCCGGCTGCTCCACTTCCGATCCAGCTCTCTGCTATGGCCCGGGAAAGCAGTAGAAGATGGCCCAAGTCCTTGGGCCCTGCACCCACATGGGAGACCCAAAAGAAACTCCTGGCTCCTGACTCCTGATTGGTGCAGCTCTTGCCATTGCAGCCAATTGAGGAGTGAACCAGCTCTCCTTCTCTCTCTATGTAACTCTGATTTTCAAATAAATAAATAAATCTTAAAAAAAAAAAAAAGGCACAAAAAGCACAAAAGGGTCTCAAACACGCACAAAGAGGCCAAGGCCCGTGCACAGTGAACAGCCACAGTCACAACAGGAGTTAACGCTGCCACCACCCAGCCTCCCACTCCAAATCCCGTTCCCCCCTCTGCGGACACTGGACGCCAGGGCCTCCCCCGCCGGCCTCACCACTCACTGTGACTCCAGCTTCAGCTACTCCCTCTCTGCCTGTTTCTATCAGTACATAAACGACCTCTTTATTATTTTTAAAAATGTGCTTAAATCAATTTTATGGGAATATAATTTACATGCTATAGAATACGTTCACCCTAAGTGCACAGCACAGAGCTGTGTCAAGGTCGGCAGTTATGCTAACATTTCCGCTACCCAGAAATCTTCCTCTTGATCCTCTGCAACCGAGCTGACCGCTGACTGCCACTCCCACGGGGAACCTGTTTCCTGTCACCCCTCGTGAGGCTGGCTGTACAGGACCGCACAGGGAGACAGCCCTACAGCGTGCTGACTGCCACTCCCACAGGGAACCTGTTTCTTGTCACCCCTCGTGAGGCTGGCTGTACAGGACCGCACAGGGAGACAGCCCTACAGCGTGCTGACTGCCACTCCCACAGGGAACCTGTTTCTTGTCACCCCTCGTGAGGCTGGCTGTACAGGACCGCACAGGGAGACAGCCCTACAGCGCGCTGACTGCCACTCCCACGGGGAACCTGTTTCTTGTCACCCCTCGTGAGGCTGGCTGTACAGGACCGCACAGGGAGACAGCCCTACAGCGTGCTGACTGCCACTCCCACGGGGAACCTGTTTCCTGTCACCCCTCGTGAGGCTGGCTGTACAGGACCGCACAGGGAGACAGCCCTACAGCGCGCTGACTGCCACTCCCACGGGGAACCTGTTTCTTGTCGCCCCTCGTGAGGCTGGCTGTACAGGACCGCACAGGGAGACAGCCCTACAGCGTGCTGACTGCCACTCCCACGGGGAACCTGTTTCCTGTCGCCCCTCGTGAGGCTGGCTGTACAGGACCGCACAGGGAGACAGCCCTACAGCGCGCTGACTGCCACTCCCACGGGGAACCTGTTTCCTGTCACCCCTCGTGAGGCTGGCTGTACAGGACCGCACAGGGAGACAGCCCTACAGCGTGCTGACTGCCACTCCCACGGGGAACCTGTTTCCTGTCGCCCCTCGTGAGGCTGGCTGTACAGGACCGCACAGGGAGACAGCCCTACAGCGCGCTGACTGCCACTCCCACGGGGAACCTGTTTCTTGTCACCCCTCGTGAGGCTGGCTGTACAGGACCGCACAGGGAGACAGCCCTACAGCGCGCTGACTGCCACTCCCACGGGGAACCTGTTTCCTGTCACCCCTCGTGAGGCTGGCTGTACAGGACCGCACAGGGAGACAGCCCTACAGCGCGCTGACTGCCACTCCCACGGGGAACCTGTTTCTTGTCGCCCCTCGTGAGGCTGGCTGTACAGGACCGCACAGGGAGACAGCCCTACAGCGTGCTGACTGCCACTCCCACGGGGAACCTGTTTCCTGTCGCCCCTCGTGAGGCTGGCTGTACAGGACCGCACAGGGAGACAGCCCTACAGCGTGCTGACTGCCACTCCCACGGGGAACCTGTTTCTTGTCACCCCTCGTGAGGCTGGCTGTACAGGACCGCACAGGGAGACAGCCCTACAGTGCGCTGACTGCCACTCCCACGGGGAACCTGTTTCTTGTCACCCCTCGTGAGGCTGGCTGTACAGGACCGCACAGGGAGACAGCCCTACAGCGTGCTGACTGCCACTCCCACGGGGAACCTGTTTCCTGTCACCCCTCGTGAGGCTGGCTGTACAGGACCGCACAGGGAGACAGCCCTACAGCGTGCTGACTGCCACTCCCACGGGGAACCTGTTTCCTGTCGCCCCTCGTGAGGCTGGCTGTACAGGACCGCACAGGGAGACAGCCCTACAGCGTGCTGACTGCCACTCCCACGGGGAACCTGTTTCCTGTCACCCCTCGTGAGGCTGGCTGCACAGGACCGCACAGGGAGACAGCCCTGCAGCGCGCTGTCTGCTTCGCCCGGCTTCCCGGCAGCAGCTTTGAGAGCCACCCCAGTGTCCTAACAGCCTCACACTCCTTTTCACCGCCTCGTTGTACTCCAGAAAGAACAATCCCAACTTTTAAGACAGAAGGAAGGAAGGAGAAGCAAAGATAAAGAGAAATTCTGATGAGCAGGATGTGAACAGAACGCCGTACGCTGGTTTCTAAGCTCTCGGTAAAGACAAGGCCTCAAGGATCCTGGCCAAGCTTAACCAAAACAAAGAGTGCTTGACACACTGGACCAGAATGGCGTGTGACTGGGAATCTCCTTTAATGGACAAAAGACACAGACTTCCTAGAAGGCAATTTGGAAATGTGTATTAAAACTTTAAAACTGTATACGCCTTTACCCTATAAATATGTATAATTGTATGTATCTATTCAAAGTGGGAGGGCTGCCACACCACCATCTATGCAACACCACAAATCTACCAGGCCAGACACCGCCCTCCTGGGCTCACACTGGGAAAATGAGAACCTGGAAGCGGCCAGCACAGTGCACCGGCACCTTTCACGAAAGCTCCCTGCACGTGTCCAGGTCACAGCGCCTCGCTGAGGCGAACTGCCTGGAAAAGCACATCCGGAACTGAGTAAACCACTAGCTTTGGGTGACAATGTGAGCACTGCTGACCCTACCTGTATGGCCTGATTCTAAGGGTACATTATTACTCATTTCATATATTTTAATCTTTCAAAATAGAACTCTCATAGACGACGAGTAAGAATCGCCACCTCTCTCCTCACGGGGAACAGGAAACCTGTCTCCATACCGCATCCTCAGGGTGCTGCTCGGACGTCAGCTTCAGCACAGTCCCGCACTGATCCACAAAGGAGCCGGCCATCAGCTCGGCGTGGCGCAGAAAGGCACTGAGGTCGTCTGCAGTCAGCGGCTCGTCACCCACCAGCTTGGCCACTACAAGATCTAACAAGGTCACCCTGTAAGCACACAAGGTCTTGCATGAGCATCTGAGGCCTCAATCACACAAGGTTAAAAATACCTGCATCTGTGAAAAGCACTTTATGAATAAAGTTACTCTTCATCAGTAATTTTTTTAAATCCTGATCTCTCTGATGTGAATTTGCTACAGAAACAGGAAGTATCTAATGCTCTCTTTATATCCATTACTTTAAGTACTGAAACAATTCAACATTTCATAAATGCTGTCAGTTTAAGTGTTCCAAATACATCTACAATAAAAACAACCACAAAGTGGAGCTAGCTAACATTCATTCACTACTCACACACATCGTACTTAACTGTCACAAGAATCTGTGAGGCTGGCTCCGTCACGAGTTCACGCCACACAGAGGCAAGCACAGCTTCATGAGATTAATGAGCACGGCCCGTGTCACCCCGCCACGCAGTCAGCCAGGACTCAACCTCTGCCCCGGGCCAGCTGCGATGTCCACTCATTTCCCGTCTTTCCTGTGTGTAGCTCTTCAATTATTTCAGTTTCAGAAACACAAATCTGAAGACCAACCCATGCAGTTTTTACATCAACACTTAAAAGAGTGAATAAATCTCTCTTCACCAATCACTTTCCTTCTCCCTAAGGAAAATGAGGTTCCACACAGGGAAACTGATGGAGCATTAATCAGACAGGATATCTGTCCCAAGTCACATTTTAAGACTTTATGTGTAATTTGCATTTATTTCTGCACCAGAAGGGTATGAATAGCTAAAACAATTAGCAAATGAGGAAAACACACTTAAACTAGGCATGGAGCACTTCTTATGAAAAGTCGTTCTCTGTGTGTGTGTGTGTGTCTAACTCCGCCCTTCAAATAAATAATAAATTTTTAGGAGAGAAGAAAGTGGGGCTAGCACTGTGGCCCAGCAGGGTGAAGCCACATCCTGTGATCCAGGCATCCATGTGCGTCCTGGCTGCTCCACTTCGGATCCAGCTCTCTGTTAATGCATCTGGGAAAGCAGCAGAAGGCCCGAGTATCTGGGCCCTGCACCCAGATGGAAACCCAGATGGAGTTTCTGGCTCCTGGTTTTGGCCTGGTCATTGCAGCCATTTAGGGGCGTGAAACTAACAGATGGAAGAGCTCTCTCACTCTGTGTCACCACCTCTGTAACTCTGCCTTTCAATTAATTAATAGATAAGTCTTAAAACAGGAAGGCAGGGCGGGCAAAGGAGGGGGGAGGAAAAACACAAACTGCTTCCTGATTCAAGTAAGAAATGAAGCTACAGCTACCAGATGGGAAAGCCAGCCAGCCTGAAGACGTCCTCTACAAACCTCACCCAGTAAGATTTCTTATAGCACTTATTAATTCAAAGTAAACAACGAACCCTCTCATTTGAGGGATGTGTTGTTATCCCGTAATCCTATGTTATCTCTAACAGTGAAGTTCCCCAGACAGGACGATATTCCAGGAATACCAGGGAGGAAGCCACCAATTCAGTGTGTCCCCATGCCTACTCTAAAACCTTCTGTGTAAGTTGGACTAGACAATGTGGCATTTTAGCCAGGTGTCCATACAGTCCTGGGCTTCAGGAAATTTAGCACCTAGTTGGCTATAACTCAAACAGGCAATATAACAGAAAAACGGCAATTTTATCACATTAAACCACAGGTATCCACAAACAGCAGTATGAAGAAAGAAGAGACAGACAGGCTGCACCTAGAGAAAAGCATTGAGGGCAGGAACGCGCAGCGAGGTCAGAGCAAGGCCAGAGCCACAGCCCCGACGGAGGGGACCAGAGCCGCCTGCAGCAAGGTGAAGACACCAGGCTCTAAACAGATGAGCGCTGAAGGGAAAGGGAACTACCAATGGCTTTCAGAAAGCAGACTACAGAAGCCAGCTTTCCATCAGCCGCATCCCTGGGTTGGTACTTGTACACTCCTGTGCTCTACCAGTGTGTAAAGTATGAGACGTAAGGAGACGGGCAGAGACTGAAGGAAAAAACAGAGAAACACAAACTACGTTCAGGTATCACCTGAGGACGGAGGACGGCTGACATCAGCCCCTGTCAATACAAACTGCAGTGCTCCCACCGCCAGGGCTGGTCTGAAGACTCCGTTCTGGTTTTTGGGTCACCTTCCCCTAAGTCTCCACCAACTCTCCAACTCTTCCTACCTCTAAGCACCAACAAAAACTATCCTTTCTCTTAAAAGAAAGGAATCACACAGGACTATCTATCTAGTCATTTTCTCAAGTAGAAAACTTTCTATAAAAATCATTGGGTGGGGGGAGGGCGCGCCGTGGCGCAGCGGGTTAACACCCTGGCCTGAAGCTCCAGCATCCCATGTGGGCGCCAGTTCAAGTCCCGGCTGCTCCTCTTTCGATCCAGCTCTCTGCTATGGCCTGGGAAGGCAGAGGAAGACGGCCCAAGTCCTTGGGCCCCTGCACCCACATGGGAGACCCGGGGAAAGCTCCTGGCTCCTGGCTTTGGATTGGTGCAGCGCCCGCTGTTGTGGCCATCTGGGGAGTAAACCAGCGGATGGGAGACCTCTCTCTTTCTCTACCTCTCTGTAACTCTTTCAAATAAATAAACCTTTAAAAAAAAAAAGCAGATGGAAGACCTTTCTTTTTCTCCCTCTTGCTGTCTGTAACTCTACCTCTCAAGCAAATAAATAAAATCTTTTAAAAAAATCATTGTTGTGTATCAGGTTACGCCATCGCCTGCAATGCCAGCGTCCCACATGGATGCCAGCTCACGCTCCAGCTGCTCCACTTCCGATCCAGTGCCCTGCGAATGCACCTAGGAAAGGAGGGCGGGGATGCACTCACGTGCACCACTGAGCTCCGTGGGCCCCCGGCCGGCACTGCGCACATGCTGGACTTGTGCTAATGGCTGCAAGCTGGTAACGCCTAACTCCATCCAATGCTCTAATTTTGTGTGTTTGAGTTCTTCAAGAAGTCCTGACCAGTGTCCCCAACTGAGAAGCAGCAGGGAGTGTCACCAGGGCTTGCCAGGGAACTCCTCACCTGACCCACAGAACACAGCAAGTGCCACCTTCTCGGCTCTCCCAAGGATTCCGTATCTACAGGAGACAAGCTTACTATGCATCACTCTGAGAAAGAATCCTTTAAACCCCATTCATCTTACTGCGTACAGTTCGGAACACATCACTAGTACTCAAAGGAAGCAAAAGGGAAGGCAAGAGCTCTCTCTCCTCCCCCAGACTCTGAGCACTTCCAGGAACACCCAGCCCCTCGCTCCAGCCTCGCTCCAGCCTCGCTCCAGCCTCGCTCCAGCCTCGCTCCGCGCGCGGCAGCACCAGCACCCAGCTGCGGAGGCAGTCGCTGCAGGAAGCTCAGAGCTCCCGGGTTATTCATCCTCTGCCAGGACTCCGACGCCTGCGGGGTGCTGTGGGCCCCTCCACCAAGCTAAGCATCTACCACCCACCGCCCGGCACGGGAACACAAGCTCTGCGGGGAGGGATTCCTGCCTGGTACACTCAATAAATAATCACTGAATGAACCAAAAAACACTCTTTTGCTACTCAAACAAAGCTCAACCGTGGCCTTCCTGCTCAGCACTCTCCCCTATGGCTCCCTTTATGAGTGCCTTTTATTCCAAAATAACTGGAGTAGTTGACGTTACCCAAATGCATCAAAGACCCCTTCATCTGCACTGGCTTGAACTATTCCTTCAACCCAGCAATGCCCACACTCACTTCACACACCACCACCCTGGCAACACCCTGCCTACTTCGCCAAGGGCCACAGGGGGCGCTCCTCCTTCCCCCCCATCCCAGGTTCTGAAGCCCAGCACCTGTTTCTCTCCAGTGACATTTACAAGCGATGTCCCGCACTACAGCTATGAATGCACTCCGTGTACCACAGCTCTAGCAAAGCAGGAAGGCAGGCCCCTGGGTCCTTCAGAGTAGCCACTGGGTCCCACCAGCTTCATCAGCCCGAGGAGAGCAGAGGACGGTGTGACTGTCACAGAGGAGTCAGCAATTTTCCACTGAAATGCATCAAGTGAAGTTCACTGTCACTAAACCTATAAAGGGCTAACAAGTGTTTGCAGAATTTTCCCCTGTGGAAAACGCCATTTCCTTCTGCACTGAGGTCCCATTTTCTTAAATCCTAAGTGGTCAAATACATTTTTAAAAAATTATGCTATAAGTTGCCTCCATGAGTATCTGTGTGTAATTAAGAGCACGCAAAAAAAAAAAAAAAAAGGCAAAACCCCACCTCCATTGAAGTCTATCTTTTAATGAAACTGAGGGATTGTTACTCATCCTTCCCTTATTCATCAACAGGAAGCGAACGTCCCAGCAGTGGGCCAGCAGCCTCACAGGAAAGAATCACAGGCACTCAACACGTGTGACCTCACACTGACATCCAAGACAAATGTGACCTTACTGCAGCACTGCGACACAGTCACAGCACAGACTGGAGTCAGACCTCTTGGATCAAAGCCCCAGGATGCCACCGAGCAGCTGTGGGAGCTTGGGCTACCTAACTCTCTTCCCCATGGACATATCAACCCTGCAGGCACAGCGGGCAGGGACCTTCTAGGGCTAATATGACGATTCAATCAATACTCATGAAGTGCCTGAGACAGTAGCTGGCTTATATAACAAGAGCTGTGTGTCAAGTCTGTTAAACATAAAAAAGTTTTCCCTGAGAACATATTCACAATAAAAGCAACACCCAGAGCACAAAAGATGGAGACGGCTCTTAAAGAAACACTGTGCAGATCCAGAATGTGGTAAGTTAGGTGTGGTGAATTTCTGACTTACCAGATATTCTCATACACATGCATTTTGAAAAGCACAGTCTTATCCTAAGAAGCCTCGTCCTCACCAGCTCCTGGAAATGGCCTAGCACTGCCTCCCCGGAGTTCCAGCCTGAGAGCTGGAAGAACTAGCAGATGTCCTGGACAGAGCCACCTCCTGGCTGCCCTCGAATGCTCAACGGGACAGTTCCCCCAAAATGACACTGCAGTCACCTCAGAGATGAAACAGTACTGCAG